CCTACCCTCAAAGACGCTATAGAGCACTGCACACCAGAAAAACTAGACACAAGGACAGTTTTTTCCCAAACGCCATCACTCCGCTAAACAAATAATTCCCTCAACACTGTCAAACTATTCACTAAGTCTGCACTACTATTACTATTAATCTTCTCACCGTTCCCATCACCCATCTCCTCCCACTTATGACTGCATGACTATAACTTTGTTGCTTATATCCTTACAATTTATATTGTTTCCTAGTATGATTCGATTGCTTATTTGTACCCTATGACTATCATTAAGTATTGCACCTTATGATTCTCGATGAATGTATCTTTTCTTTTTATGTACACTGAGAGCATTTGCACCAAGACAAATTCCTTGTGTGTCCAATCACACTTGGCCAATAAATAATTCATTCTCTCTCTCTCTCTCTCTTTCTCTCTCTCTCCCTCCCTCCCTCTCTCCCTCTCCCTCTCTCTCTCTATCATCTATCCAAACTTAAATCCAATTTTTATTAGAAAATATCTTTACCAATGTGAGTCTTAAAATAAGCAGGGTTTTTTTTCCTGAAGAAAATGTCCTTGTGAAAAATGTATCTGAGGATAAACTAGCTGTTTTAATCAAACAGGCAAAAATAAAACATGTGTTAAATATGTTAATTTATAGGTCGCATTTCTGTAGAACATTCTAATTGCAATATTTGATTTAAATTGAAGTGTTACATTTAAATGTGGTGCTAATTGCTTTCAGGCTTTGCAGAATCCATACTTAATAAGGCACTCATTTTTAAAAACGTAAGTAAAATTCCCAGTACTAATGGCCTATTAGAAATGTAATTTCAAAACAGATGTACCTTTTATTAGGCTCTGCAAATAATCTGAGTTAATCCTAGCAGAACTGTGTCCTACCACTGCTAAATAAAATATTGTATGATTCCGATAAAATAAAAAAAACTTAGCAGATATTTTCTTCCAAGTGTGAGGGACTTGGAGATTTTAAAGTAGAATTACATAAGGATGAAGCTATTTTTGGCTCTCCCTTGATTCTCTGAATATAAAAATGATTTTGCCGATGAAGAGAAGAGATAACTCATGTCCAAGTGCCTAACGCTTGATCCAACACTAGAAGTGATAGAAGAATTATCATATTTTATTTTGTGATAGAAGAATTATGAAAAACAAGTACAAATCCACTTAAAGGAGCTTCATTTTTTCTGTATATAATATTCCCTGTTCTCTATTTGGATGCTGGTTCTAGGAATAAGATACCCAAAGTTATTAAATAAGGAAAGCAAATATGCTTTCATCATCTTATTCTTTCTATAGTCTTCACGAATCTTCTCCTAGTCCTTAATACATTCTATCTTGTGCACTAAGATCCCTATTACTACAAACTGCAACCTTGTGTACGACTTGGATAGTTAAAATGTTTTAAATCTAGTGAGAGGTGTTTTCCACTTATAAAAATGAACATTTTGCCTATATATATATATATATATATCTTTAATTTATATGCCGCCCTTCTCCGAAGACTCAGGGCGGCTTACAATGCGTTAAGCAATAGCCTTCCTACTTTTGTATATTTATACAAAGTCAGCTTATTGCCCCCACAATCTGGGTCCTCATTTTATCTACCTTTGAAAAGATGGAAGGCTGAGTCAACCTTGAGCCTGGTGAGATTTGAACTTGCAGTAATTGCAAGCAGCAGATGTTAATAACAGTGTGCTTTAGTCCACTGTACTACCAAGGCTCCATTTTCATGCTAATGGTATTTATTACTGATAAACTAGCATAAATTATTTTAAAGCATGCAGCCTTTTATTTCTATATTCAACTTTATGACTGCAGAGCTGAAAGAGAGGTGATTAAATAAACAACAAAAATGTCAAGAACAGGCTTTCACACAAATATTCAGCCTCTCATGAGGATCATGCTATCAGTTGCTATCTCTAATTCACTGTAAAAAGATGGGATGAAGGTTTTAATCCTTAAAGCCAAAGCGAAAATCTCTAATTACCAATGCATGTCTCTGAAAAATCCAGTTAAATATCCCAGCTGCTATGATTTCTCAATTGTTATACACAGAATTAGATTTCATTTACTACCCAAAATTTAATCCGGGGTTAGAATTGTCATTTTGACTGCTGACTACTGCTATTACCACTTGGATCAATATGTCCTTCTCACAGAAGTTCTCAAAACCAAATGTCCTATGAAAAAAATAAGAAGAGAGGAATACAGATAGGCCTCAACTGACGACCACAACTGACAACCACAATTCCTCTCTTAAGCAAGGCAGTGGTTAAGTGAGTTTTGCCCCATTGTATGCCCTTTTCTGCCATAGTTGTTAAGCAAATCACTGCAGCTGTTCAATAAGTCATGCGATCATTAAGCGAATCTGGTTGTCCCATTTGACTTTGCTTGTCAGAAGCCGGCTGGGAATGTTACAGATGTTGATAATAGCAATAGCACTTAAGACTTATATAGTGCTTCACAGTGCTTTACAGCCCTCTCTAAGCAGTTTACAGAGTCAGCCTATTGCCCCCAACAATCTGGGTCCTCATTTTACCCACCTCGGAAGGATGGAAGGCTGAGTCAACCTTATGATCACATGACCCTGGGACAATGCAACTGTCAGAAATACATGCCAGTTGCCAAGCTCCTAAATTTTGATCACATGGCCATGGGGATGCTGCAATGGTCATAAGTATGAAAAAAAAGCCGAAAGTCATTTTTTTCCCAGTGTGGTTATAACTTCGAATGGTCACTAAATGAATGGTCGTATGTAGAGGACCCTGGCACTTAATTCCACCCCCCCAAACAGCTAGTTTCCATTATAGATGGCTGTTATGGGATCATATAGGTTTATTTTTTCTCCCCTCCCCTTTTTTCTTTTATATAATACTCTTTTGGATTGCAAGCCTAGGGATGATATAACTAAAAGTCGGGGGAAGAAAAACCAGACAAAAGAGTTCTAATAAAAAATACACAGTAAACAACTTAAGCTGTTATTTGACAATAGCTGCCTCATAAGAATGTGATATTTTAATGCCAAAAGAATTCACAGAAAATCTTCGTACGTGCCCATCTCTCCTCCTTCTCTCACATATAAGAAAAACAAAGCAATGTGTGAAACAAAACTCGCACATTGATTTCTCTTTCCTCTGCTGATTGTGCTACCAATTTGACCTTTCAAACATTTATTACTAAGCGCAGTATTTATTCGTATCATTAACTTTATCTATATAAACAGATGGTTTTTTATAGGTTAGACGTTTCAAACACTTCATCTACAGTACCCATCTAAAAACAGTTCTCTTCGTGACGGTAGAATAGCAATAGCAATAGCACTTCGACTTATATACCACTTATATACCACTTCACAGTGCTTTCCAGACCTCTCTAAGCAGTCTGTATATTGTGCCCAACAATCTGGGTCCTCATTTTACCCACCTCGGAAGGATGGAAGGATGAGTCAACCTCAAGAAACTCTTCCAACACAGCCCTACATCAAAGTAGAAAGAACCAAAGCACCTTTCTATATAGAATAGTTTATTTGTGTGGATATTAGATCAAGCTCAAGATCAATGATACCAAATCACTAGATTTTTTTTCCTTTACTGTATTTATCTCGTTACTGAACACATGAATTATGTACTGTTTCCATGTGTGTGTGTGTGTGTGTGTGTGTGTGTGTGTGTGTGTGTTTAAAAATGGCCCAGTAAAGTAAGCCAAATATATTTCCTAAGAATAAGTATATAGATTTTAGAAATATATGGGAAGATGCATTAAAATTACTGCCCTTCCATTTATGGGTGCATTTTAAATACCAGAAAGAAGTGGTAGAAGCATATGGAACTTCTGTAATTTTTTTTTTTTTTTTTTTTTTAAATTTGATTTATATGCCGCCCTTCTCCGGAGACTCAGGGCGGCTTACAATGTGCTCAGCAATAGCCTTCATCCTTTTGTATATTTATACAAAGTCAGCTTATTGCCCCCACAAACTGGGTCCTCATTTCACCTACCTTAGAAAGGATGGAAGGCTGAGTCAACCTTGAGCCTTGGCGAGATTCGAACCCTGCAGTAATTGCAGGCAGCTGGTCTTAATAAGCTTAATAACAGGGTGCCTTAAACCCCTGTAGTACCAAGACTAATAGGCAATAATAGTCATATTAAAATAATATTCTTTGAATTATCGCCTCAGCTTCAAGCTGAGAAAACTGTTGCTTGATCAAAAGTGAGACCAGTTCATTTGGGCTTGTGGCACAAAATTCAACGATCTTTTGGATACTTTTTTTTTTTTGCAAAATACTTTATTTATATGCTGATTATAATCTGACCTTATTCCAAAAGTAACAAATCAAAATAATACAATTAAAATGAACACATATTTATAGAGTAAAGTGGTTTTTTTAAAAAACTGACTAGAGCTTTTCCTTTCCATGGAATAATGCATGAGAGTGGTTGAAATTTGGAAAACATCTTTCCCCCAGATCTAACAATCCCCTACCTCAGGGGTGGGGAACGATGACCTTTTTATGACTTGTGGACTTCAACTCCCAGAATGGCTGGTTCAGGAATTCTGGGAGTTAAAGTCCACAAGGCATAAAGGGGCCATCGTTCCCACCTCTGCTCTATGTGGTTGAAACTCAAAGGTGGGAATGCTCCAATCTTCCCTGCTCCAAAAAAGAAAAAAAAATGATTATAACTTGCCAGTTTTGCCATTTACTTAAACAGATCTTAGCAAATATATTACATCAGCCTCAGAAATCTAAGAAGAAAATGTGGATTTTTAATCTTGCAGTTCATTTTACATTTCACTTAAGAAAATATAAATAAAATAGTGGAAACTGCAGTCCTAGCAGAAGTTCATGCCATAAAGGAATGTTATTAAGTATCTTGAGAAGTGATAAACTGGATAGGTCGGCAAACTAAATCTCTCAATTCAGTTATATGCTTCAAAAAATTATACAGTATGAAGTTCAGTAATGCATGCCAAAACATAAAATCACTTACTTCAGTAATAATCACTTGTAACAGTGTTCCTTACAGTCTGTTTCAACCCACTTTCTGTCAATCTGAAAGGTGAAAAGACAAAATCTAAAATAAACTTTTAACATATTTTTCCAAAAAATAACCCTAGCTTCTAGTGCAGGAAGCTACAATATTTTGTATAGCTGAGCTATATTCAGTTTTCCTTTTTGAGCTAATACACAGAAAAGATTAAACTATTTTTTAACAAATTAGTGAGATCTTATTTGGCTATAACACTAAAGCACAATGATTTAACTGGATGATGAATGTTAACTAAAACAGACATTTCATAAACTATATGGGATGATTTTATCAGTATTTACACTGTTCCTACTGTATTATTTTTATTTGGGGCTCAATAGTAATAATAGTTAGCACTTAATAAATACTTTAAAACATGTTTTTTTCTGTAAAATACCTGGGAATGTTTTCAATGATACATAAACACTTCCATTTAGCTTTAGCTAAAATGAAAGTAAAATTATTATGGGAAATACTAGACAATTTCATATAGCAATAAATGGTTACTGAAGCAAAATGTATCTAATGAAAAAGCAAGAGTAAACACAGTACATTTTGTTATATAGCAGGTGTAAATAGAGCTCTAGGCAGAACTGTTTTGTGTTAAACCTCTCTTTCAATATACAAAAATGCATCACATGTAAACATATTCACACAATTGGCAATACCAGTATTTTTATACCATGACGGACCAACTTGTATTACTAAAAACAGCACATGCCCTTCTGATACAACACAATTAGTCCTGCACAAATAGCTTCTTAAGACAGCACTCTCTTATATTTTTATTTAATTCTACAAAAAAGTATAGTTGAATACTGGTTTGTTTGAAGATAAATCCACGTAGGATTGGATTTATTCCCTACTATTCCAGAGGGCAGAAGTAGCAGCAATAGGTTAAAATTACAAGAAAGGACATTTACGCTAGCCAAAACAAGGAATTCCCTGACCACTTCAGCTATCAAGCCATTGGAACAGCTTACCACATGAAGTGGTGTGTTCTGCTTCCCGAAATGTCTTCAAACATAAAATCGTCTGCTCAGATGCTCTAACATTTCTTACACATTTTTCTCTTAGGACCCCTTCCCACTTTTAAAAATTATGGAGGCACCCAAAAGAGCTTTCAGTTTGTATGGATTATATTCACTGATATTTACTACGTTAAAATTATATCAGATGCTTTCTCCTGCCATTACCATTTCTCACAGATGTTTGGTAGGATTTTTAAACGGTGTCATTTTGTAATGTAGGCTGGTGAGTAATTCTGATTTTGCAGACCCCTGAAACGCAGTATCAGGCTAGTTAGTACAACTAAGAAATTCAGTCTTGGGTCTTCAAAGCTGCAAGAGTGTTTTGCATTTAGAAGATTCAACGTCACCTCTGATAAAATCAAAGAATGCCACTTAGACCCTGATTGCAAACAGGAATACCATCAGCAACGCTCCTACACCTGCTCAATTTCCTGCAAACATACTGGACTGGCAGCAGTGGTTATAATTGGGTATAATTCAGTACACATAAAAAAACCGCAGGAAGGAACTTACATGGTAGGATATTGAATGAAAAGATTTTGTGTTCAAGTATTTTGCACGCTTGTGTGCTGTGTGGAAACATTCAATCTGCCCCCAACTGCAGTTTAAATGGTATAGCTCAGACATGAGCTTATCACCTGATCCACTGCTTTTATAAGGAGACCCCCAGCTTCACATTTTAAAGGCACTATGGATTCTCAGAACAGCCAAAAGACAAAGCCCCCCTCCTACATGACCACAATACTCCTGTATCAACAATAAAGGATGCAGTCAAGAAGCAAGCTACTGAACAAGAACTGGATATTCAGCATTCAAACAAAGCAAATATATTTATTTTTACTTATTAGTTTGCTGCCCATCTCAAAATGAGTATATATCGTATCATATCAAATATATCATACATCTTTAAAATCTGTTTCAGAAATTGTTCAGCGAGACTTGAATAATAATATGCAAGATAAAAGAAAACACTAGGTTGCACAAAGTAACCTGGTGACAATCAAGCCAGTGTTGCAAGGAAAATCCATCCGGTTCAGTTCCAAGCCGGGAAGAAGGCACTGGAAATAAAATGGAGGCTGGAGGGTGGTTGGAAAGAAGGTCCATTTATTAATGAACAGAACCACCAACCACATGGGATTCTGGGCCAGCTGATGAAATGGAGTTTAGAGTGGGTGGGTTTTTATACCTTCTGGATCCCTATGGGGGTCATGCAGTGGTGGGTTGCCCCTGGTTCGCACCGTTTCTATAGAACTGGTAGTAAACCGGCGGGAGGCTCCGCCCACCGACCCCGACGTCATCAGAATGCTTCTGCACTTACGCGAGCGAAGCGAGTGCAAATGCACGGCCCCGTTGCGAACCAGTAGTAAAGGTAAGTAGAACCCACCCCTGGGGTCATGTAGGGGTTATGTAGGGCTCTATAGACAAAAGAGGAAATGCAAATCCTGTGTGTTGTCTGAGCTGTCAACCGTTGCTTATCTGAGTTTCTGTCTTGAACCCAGTCTTTCTGAATGGATTACCAAATCTGCATTTCTAAAAGCCGGCCTCCTCAATGTCTGCTTGGGGTAGGGAAAGTGGGGCTGGTTTCTGCCTCCCTTAAGATTTTTTTATTTCTCCTTTAGGGGAAATATTTTATCCTGCCTTTTTAATATTTCCCAAAATATTTCATTCTTCTGAAGGGGAGGGGAGTCCTTCCTAAACCAGTCACTCTTTCGAGGTTATTATAGTAGGAGTAAAATGGACATTTGCAATAGTACCGAATATCTGTGCATTGGACATAAAATGGACATATTCTATTGTACTACGTGGTGTAGTAATTTTGTTTGGTATGTGCTTATATCCTATTTTCTCCCACAGTAATGATCCTCTGGCTGAGAGAAAGAGATGGCCCAAATCCAGTTATTGTTATTACTGCCACCATCATCACAGAAGAAAACAACTGTCCCTTGTAGTTGCCAGTTCTTCAAGTCATATGGCTTTTTACCTTTTAGTAACAGCTCTTCACTGCCCTCATACCAACAAGAACATTGTGTGTCATGTTAGCACCCCACTTTGGTTATAAAGATTTTTTTTAAAAAAAAAAAAGGGGGGGTGGGCTTTTATAGTTGGCATAGAAAAATCCCAAGACATTGGTCATTATGACTTTATTACTATTCTCTTCAAGAGAATGGGCATCCAATAAAAGGGCTTGGTTTTAAAAAAAGGGCTTTAGTTTTAAACCAAAGGACTTGGCTTTATCCTAACCTCACCACCTTATTCAATATTTCTTCTACGGGGCTTCAAACTGGTTGATTTTACTATGACATTTTTCTTTTTAAAGGTATGGGGTTTTTTTTGGTTTTTTTTATAAAAATGTAAAATCAATGCGTGAACAGTGTGGCACCTGGGCGCCATACATTCCAGTACAAACAGAACTGATTAAACATTATTATTACATTCAATCAACTTATGAAATTCCCATAACAGTACACATCTATATTAGGTTACAGTCTATCATTATTCAATTATTCCACCTATTTCTCATTATTACTTTCGTTTTATCAAATAAAAATGTAACACATTAATATTCCCTTTATTTCTATCTCCTACTTTGGCTTTTAATCATATCATTCTATATTAAAAAGCTTTATTTCTTTCTTTCTTTCCTGTCTTAACTTCTAATCATGTCACCTGCCTACAAAAAGAGAAAGACAGAAAAATAATAGAGAGGGAGAGATAGGAAAAGACAATTCAAAACAGCAACCAAGAACAGGAATCATCCATCCATCATCTTTTTAAAGGTACGGTTAAAAGGCAAGTAGCTGAGGCATTGAGGCTACTTATCTGAATAACCCCTATTGATGGCAAAGAGGTGGCATGCCTAATACATATCACCAATAAAATCCTATACAAACAATTTAAAATAAGAGTAGGGTAAAATAATTTTTATGTCATTTTATTCTATTTTACATATTTATTTATTTTTTAATAAATTTTTATTATAGTTCAAAAAAAACAAAAACAAATGTATAATAACCTTTATAGTAATTGGAACATGTGGTATGATTGGATCCAGAAACGATGGGAGAGAGATAAAGGATAAGGTTATTTTACATATTTATTGTATCCCAGCGGATTTCTATAGATGTCTCATCTTTCTTGTTTTCCTTAAAGAAGAAGGCCAGTTCTCTTTCCATCTTCTGCACATATTTATTGTACTGCAGTGAGTTTTGGACCCTTTACGCACAGCAGGAGAGAAAGTTGAACACCTTTCATATGCGCTGTCTCTGACATATCCTTGGCATTATCTGGCATGACAAAGTTCCAAATAGCGCAGTCTTGGAACGTGCTGGAATTTCTAGCATGTGTACACTATTGAAACAGTGACATTTATGCTGGCTTGGGCATGTCATGAGAATGGCTGATGGTCAGATTCCAAAAGATCTCCTGTATGGAGAACTAGTGCAGGGAAAGCGCCTTAGAGGGAGACCACAGCTGCGATATACGGATATCTGCAAGAGGTATCTAAAGGCCTTGGGAATGGACATTAACAACTGGGAAACCTTGACCTCCGGATCGTTCAGCCTGGAGGATAAAGACACAGCATGGCCTTCTCCAATTCGAAGAGACACTTGTTTGGCAGGCTGAGGCAAAGAGGCAGTCCTGGAACCAACGAAATCTGGGGGCTGGGCAGGGGACAGAATGTATCTTCCCTCAGTGTGGAAGGGATTGCCACTCTCGAATCGGCCTTTCTAGTCACACTAGATGCTGTTTTAGGACCTCTTTCCAGAGCACGATACCATAGTCCAGGGGTGGGCAAATGTGGCCCTTTTACAACCTGTGGACTTCCACTCCCAGAATTCCTGAGACAGCCAAGCTGTCTCAGGAATTCTGGGAGTGGAAGTCCACAGGTTTTAAAAGGGCCACATTTGCCCACCCCTGCATAGTCTTTTGAGACTGAAGGTTACCAATGAATGATGACGATGATATTTATGTATTAAATTATATTGTATCTTGTCCTATAACTATTGTATTTTACCCTACTCTTATTTTGAATTGTTTGTATAGGATTTCACTGGTGACATGTGCATGCCTAATAAAGAACCCTCTGAAGTGGAGCGGCCCAGAAATGCCAATCATTCGCTATGAATTAACTAATGCCATTAACCCACTGACTCCGCCCCTATCTTCCTCCTCCTCCTCCTCCCTCTCCCCATCCACCCTATCCAGAGCCCGCAGATGGCATGCAACGTGCAGCCCCGCCCCTCCCTGATGCCAGGGGGCGGGGCTTGGAACGCGCCGTCGGGGGCGTGGCCTCGCGTTCTCCGCCTCAAACTCCGCCCCCATTCTGAGGAGAATTCTGAGGGGGGGGGGAGAGAGAAGAAAGACGGGGAGAAAAAAAACCCCGCCGCCGTTCGCCAATGAGGCGCCCCGAGAGGGGGCGGGCTGCAAGGGAAGGAAAGTTCTCGTCCCTTCCCCTTTTTTTTTTTTACTCTCGCCTCAGCCACTCTTGAGTCGCCGGCAAAGGGGAGGCCAACCTCATCCCCATGACGCTCCCGAGACGTCCTTCGCTTTCAAAGCCCCGCCGACCGCAAAATCCGCCCCTCACTCACCCTCTCTGGCCGCCGCCGCCGCGGACATGTCCTCTCGCGAGTTTTGGCGGCGGGATTTCAGCCCTGCCTGGCGCGTGCGGGAGGTGTGAGGGGGGGTGGGGAAAGAATACTGTACTTAGCCGCCGCGCGTCGCGGGGGGCAGGGTGGGAGGGGGGCGGGGGCGCGCGCCCGGCGGTTTAGAACCTGGAGGCGGGACGAAGGTGGGGGCGGTGGAGGAGAGGTGTGGCCCTGCGCGCCTCGCCCTGTGATTGGTGCGAAGAGGCAGGGCATGGCTCCGCCTCCTCCATCCGGGTATTCCCCCCCCCCCCCAGATGCCTCTCCAGCAAGACTGTGAGAGGATCTTAGATGAGGAAAAGGGTGTCCTGCTTTTTGGAGTTAAAAAAAAGGAAGACAACAAACAAAATAAACGACTTCGTTGTTTTTGTTTCTCCGCCTTCTGAAAAATGAAATTATAGTTGGAAAGGGACCTTGGAAGTCTTCTAGTCCAGGTGTCTCCAACAAAGCAAAGCTGGCTGAGGAATTCTGGGAGTTGAAGTCCACTAGTCTTAAAGTTGCCCAGGTTGGAGACACCTGTATCTAGTCCAACCCCCTCCTTAAGCAGGAGAGCCTGGAGATGTCCCTGGATCCTTTATGAAATACTTATGAATATTTATGAATATAAAGGAAATACGTTCTAATTTTTGAGGAAGAGCACAGCCTCGCAACATTGTAGGTGGACAAGAGGATTTGGAGAAAAAAGTTTATGATAAGGAATATGATATCTAGATTGTGCCTCCATAATGAATGAAAGTAAACAGCATCATAACCAACACAAAATAATAATAATAATTTGGAGCTCTTTTTCTTCCATTTTGTCAGAGCTCTTCACAATTCCCACGTCACCCGTACCGTGCAATAGTGTACAAATTCGGACGTCGTCAAAATTGACATCAATATCCAAGCTAAAAGACAGACTAAAACTGATCAAGCTGCAAGTGCCTTTTTTTAATTGCATATTAATTACACTACAGTGACTTGGTTTATGCCAAGTGTTAAACCAGTGTTTTTGAAACTTGGGCACTTTCAAGATGTGTGGACTTCAACTTCCAGAATCTCCGAGCTTCTTAGATCTCCTTATGGAATCTAGATAAATGTATCCAGATGCTGCCTAACTTGCATCTCAAGCTCAGGTAGAGTTTAGAAGGAATTTATGGAATATCTACAGATACGTATCACAAGCATCAGGAGAAGAGTCAGTAAAACTTGCAACTTGCAAATCTGGAGAATGACACAATGGCCAACGGATTGGAAGTGGTCAGTCTGCACACTAGTGTCAAAAAAAAGAGTTAACAGAGGGTGTGTGCGGTCATTCGTTATCTTTAATTTCACAAGCTAGCAAAATAATTCTAAGGTCTTCCAACACAGATCTGAACCTTGCACGGGAAAAGATGTGCCAGAAGTTCAGAAAAGGAACACAAGATATTATTGCTGAATCATTGGAATATGGAAAAGTAATGAGTATTTGCTTCATTGTGTAGGAAGTTAGCACCCACCTCTTTCCTAGAGGAATGAAATATTTTGGGAAATATTGAAAAGGCAGAGTATTATGTTTCCCTGGATAAGAAATGGAGAAGCATGTTTTAAAGACGAAGCAGCTCCCACCTTCTTGCCCCCCCCCCTTTGTCAATGGGCCAGAGGCAGAAACTCAATTCCCTCCCATCTTTGTCAATGGACCATCATCTGCAACACAATTTGACCCATCTAGCAACAGAAACTAACACAATAGGACCCATCTAGCAACAGAAACTCACCACATGGCACCTGGGAAGATTACATCAGCCAGCAAGGCTAGCTAAGACCCCCTACCCCCTGGGAGTCTGACAACCAATCAGGATACTCTTTCTGGGCCCTAGGAAGTTCAAAGCCAGAGAGGGCATAAAACTCAGGGACTCACTGCATCTCGTCCCCTTTTTCTGTTCAGGAACTCAAACCATGTAATCCTGTCCACCATTAAACCATCTTTCCAAGCAGTCTCCATGTTTCCAGTGTCTTTTTCCCCACTTGGAGCTGAACCCAGAAGGATATTTCTTCCTACAATTGATTAGAGAAAGGTCTTCAACTGTGTCATCAAACTGTAGAATGTGGTTAAAAAAAAAACGGGAATCCCAGAACATTTCATGTATTCGTGTCAAACTTATACAAAGGGCAGGAAGCCACAGTCTAGACACTACATGGTGAAGCAGACTGGCTCCAAGTCAACAAAGGAGTGAGACATTGCTCTACTTTTTTAAAAAAATGAATTTAGTATATTATGATTTAACACTGGAAGAAGAGATGAGTGCGATTTTTAACACTGGAGGAAGAAAATCAATGGCTATGCTGATGACACCACCGGAAGAGCTGAAAATGCAAATGATCTTCAGGCTCTAAGGAATGAAAGTCAAACAGTGCAGTGAAAAAATGGGACTACTAGTCACTAAGGTGAAATGTAAAAAAACAAACCAGCCTTTGAATTGACAATGAAGAGACTCAAGTGATGGGTAACTTCTGCCTTTTAGGATTACCATAATAAAGGAACCAACAATGAAGAAACATGCTTCAAACTAACCCGTGGGAAAAGATATCCAGATGCAGTGATATACAGTACCTAGAACTACAAAGAAAATGCACAAAAATGGAAACAGGAAGAAACACTGTTGGATGAAGAAGTGATAAAAAAAGTTTTAGAATGTGCTGAGATGGACAAGTTAAGAAAAGAAATTAAAGAAAAAGAAGAGAGAGATTACTATACAATTTGGAACAAATGGTATGAATGGCTTGAGAGCAGAAATAAAGAACAACACAAATAGGGGAGAATATAAAATGTAAAATATGTAAGTAACAAATATATATAATAAGCTAATTGTTTTAAGAGGAAAAAAAAGTTAAGCATTAATGGGTTTTTCAGGCACCTGAAACAAATATTTAGAAATGTAAGGCTATTAGGATTAGAAAATACATTGTAATCAATCAAAAAGGGGACAATGAAGAAAATAAAACTATATGAGAGTTTTAATAAGCCCTGTGGTTTTATGCTTTGTAAATAATGTTTTGTGGCAGGTCTCCACCTGTGAATCTCTGCATATACTTTATGAAAATTCAGTTAGATGTATCATGAATAATTCTCCATGAACTATGTGCAGAGATTTGAAAGAACGCCCAAAGGAACAAGGCTAAACAAGTTAACCTTTCTGTAAACAAAGTCTCACAATTAAGACTTACAATTAATTCTCCTTTAGGTCCCTAACAATTGTGTATTTCCAAAAAATAATCATAAGCAAACATTTTATTGCATAATCAACCTAACTTCTCAGAAATATTCCAGTTTTCAAAAACAAAATCAAGATGAAAGGCTTGTTAGTTTTTGTAAACAAATCATCAATTTGGAATAGGAAAATGTTGTATGAGGGATTAGCTGAACAATATCTAATTAGGTTTGCAGCAATAATTTTACTAATTAAATCTGGTATTTTCCTACCCCTTTTAGACGACCTGGGATCCTGGGGTTAAGGTATCATTTAAACAACCAGATGAATGTCAATGGCAACAGGCACGTATTGAAGTTACGCATGAAGGATTAATTCTAAATGTCGTGTTACCAGTTTACAAACAAGTCAGCAGAGATCGGAGGAATAATTTACTCGTTATGAACAGAAAACCCAATAAATTAGATCCCCTAGCCTCAATTGTACTTACTACTGCTTCCTTTCATAAGGACATAGCTGAACAGTCACTGAAAAAAGATAAAATAGGAATTGAAGGAAGACACTTGTACCGGACTAAGTTAAAAAAAAAACCTTTAAACTGTAAAAGTCTAGAGGATTAAAGAATTTGAAGAGGCATCAGAGTGCCAAAGCTCTTCTATTATATAAAGTGTAGGCATTATGAGATAAGCACATTTGACCCAGGAAGAAAATAAGTGTTTAAAACCAACTGCCTGCTTCAAGGGAATTTCTCCAGTAACTTCCTAAGAAATCCTGCTTCCAGCTTTAAGGCTTTTACTCTGCAAGTTCTAACTACCTACCTGATAACATCATCTTTTAGGAGCAGGGCGTAGAAAGAATGTTGTAATAGGCAATAAGATTATGTTTTGAGTAGTTGTAACCAGAGATCACACTCACAAAGGTTTGTCCCTTTGGGAACAAAAACAAGGGGCAAGTGTCACACCAGGTGTTAGAAAGGAAGGTGAACTTGGAGCCTTTTATAAAAAGTGTGATTTGAGCAGAACTTGAGAAAGAAGCTGAGAGTTTATAATTGAGCTACTGAGGTTCACACTTTGAACTCCTTTTCAGGCTGGAGAGTGGCCAAATCTCTGTTGATAAAAACAGGTTAGTTTAAACTAACTGGCCCTAATCTGGTGATTTTTTATTTTATTTTTTTACTTATAAAATGTTTCTGGCACTTCAGTTAGAAGCTCTAAGTGACTCAGGAATTAATACAATAAACCATAATCACTCAGTCACCGGAAGTGTGAGATGGGCGGCGAATAAATTTGATAAATATATAACAGAATAGCAATCTGTTATAATTGAATCAGCAGACAACTGATGACTCTTCTTAAAGCTCCTCACTCGGGCGCAGGAGTAAAACTAATTTGAGTTCTCTTGATATTGGTGGTATTTTACTGCCCTCTGGAATAATAATCATAATCATCATCATCATCATCATCATCATCATCATCATCATCATCATCATCATGTCAAGAACAAGCCCTAGCCACAAATTGCATGAAGGCAAAAATTCAACATGTTACCACCAACAGCAAATGCCGCCTCTGTAATGAGAAAGATGAGACAGTCGGCCACCTGATCAGTGGGTGCAGCAAAATTTCACAAACCGACTACCTACAACGCCATGACCGCGTTGCTAAGATCATTCACTGGAAATTGTGCCAGAAGTTTGGATTTGAGTACAGCAAAAACCACTGGGAACATCAGGTTGAGAAAGTTTTAGAGAATGAGAAATTCAAGATCTTGTGGGACTTCAGGATTCAGACTGACAGGCACTTGGTCCACAACACACCTGACATAACAATAGTTGAAAAGAAAAAAGTATGGTTCATTGACATTGCAATACCTGGTGATGCACGGATTGAAGATAAGCAGCAAGAAAAAATCACAAAGTACCGGGACTTGCAAATTGAAGTTGAGCGAACTGTGGAAAAAGAAATCGTGTGTTGTCCCGATTGTAATTGGAGCCCTTGGGGCAATACCCAAAGGGCTACCCCGCTATTTAGAAATTCTAAATTTACCGGACTTGAACATTTTGACTTTATAAAAAACCACCTTACTCGGAACAGCTTACATCCTCCGACGATACCTTAACAGTTCCTAGGTCCTTGGTTAGGACTCGAGCTGCTGAGCTATTAACCAGCCTCAAAGGCTGTGAATCTCACTAAAGAGTAAATAATAATAATAATAATGATGATGATGAAGGAACCTTGCAGAGTGAAGCTGTTCTGGAGGGTGTGGCCACAGTAGAGAAAGCTCTTGATCTCTTTCTAATGATGTCTTCAGAAAGGATCAGGGAGATCATCTGTGATCCATTGTCAGCCACAGAAACTCCCACAATAACACTGAACTAGTCGTTCTACCAATGCAAATAACCCTGTATGTTGTCGCAAATAAAAATTGCACTCAAAACTGAGCTCCTGAATGAAAGATGGGGTATAAATCAAACAAAATCGCTAAAATATACAAGGCAGGGAGATCTGGAAGCAATTTATTGACCTAGCTCTAGAAAAGTGGAAATATGCCATTGAGTGTTAGGATGTATTTCCAATTTCCTTTCTACTCCTGCCAAACAGAACTTTGCAACCACCACGAAGGTTAGAACTCCTTTTGTTCCGGAGTACTAATTGGAGAAAAATCTGAAGCAGCCCAATTTTATCTTCATGCCACGAAAGGCTTCAACGCCCACTTTCTTCAAAGCAAAGGAAAGCGGGGTGAGGCCGGCTGCATTTCCCTTTTGGGGGCTGGCCAACCCATGCAACTTAAGCTAAAACTGTGCTAGAGTTCCTGGGATTTAGATTAATGGCCTGCACACATCTGTCGTTTAAGCCAAACCAGTGAAAAAGTCTTTTGAGCTACGTCACCCGCAGGGGTTCCTCCCAAATGTCACCAAGAGGATTGCCCTAGCCTGACAACAGAGATTCTACCAAAGCCGGCATCCTTTCTGTGTCGGTAATGTGAGATAATACCTGTTTCTAAGAGAATGACGCCTGGAAACTTTAGCTCAGGCGACTCCGCTTTAAATATAGAAACGGTTTGTTTGATTTGCAGACGGTACCCAGAATAAAGAATGAGGTAATTTTTAAGTGGATGTCAAAGAGTCATCTGTTATTGATAATCACCAAACGGGGCACATTTTCCTCCCTTCAGGTTTTGAAAGACACGTCACTGACACCACATTAACTGACTCTTTGCCAAAAGACGGGCTTAAAATAACATAGATAGCAGCCATACATTTTTTCCTTTAAGGTTCTTCCTCCTGAAGATTTCGTACAGCCCTGCTGGTTTCTGCAGGGCGTACCCACAAATAGGAGCAAACATGGTGGAGCTGCAACTCAGTGTTACATGAAGATCCCTTATTCATTTTCATCCTCCTCTAGTAATCTGTTTGTTGTGGTCTGCCTGCAGCCTGCGAAGCTGGCAGTGGAGTCGGACAGTGATGAGGCTGAGGAAGGACATGGGCCAGTCCTGGAGGCTGGGGAAGGCCCGGATGAGGGCTCTGCGTCGGAGGCAGAGATGGGGCCAGGGCCATCGGGGAGTGAGGTGCGAACTTCGGAGCCTCCAGAGGCTGACAGTAGAGAGGCAGAGGAAGAGGAGGAGCCTGTTCCTAGTGCACGTATGAGAAGAGCTGCCAGAAGGCAGGAGCAGATAAAGCAAAGGACAACTCAGGAGTAGGGCCAAGAGATGAATGGCCCCTTCCATAAGGCTTAAAAGACCAGCAACGGCTCTTGGGCTCTTTGTCGGAAAACAACGTTGATGGACTTGTTCTTGTCTTGCTGCACTTATCTCTGGTCGGCGTCTTCTGCTTCTGGACTTTTGCCAAGAGAAGCCATTGGCAGTTTGCCTAATTATACCCAGGTTGGTGATTAGACTGAAGAATTTGTGTTATGAAGATTTTGTTTTGATTTAGTTTGGACTACGCTGAGAATGAGTTAATTCTCAGCTGTTCTAATAAAGTCTGTTTGTTTTGGAACTGTTTGCGTCTAATACTACCTACTTGGGCCTGGGTCACAACATTGTCAGGGCTAAACATGCTTAATGCTCCTTTGGCTGTTCCAGTGTCTACTACTTGAAACATCTTAAGAATTTTTAACCCAATGTATTTTTATATTTCTGCAGATTCCCAGGTTTCCATGTGGATGAACGTAGCTTGTCTATGAATACATAGTACACGCTGGCTTTGTAAGTGTTGTGGCCCGCACTGTTCAGATTCGGACAGTGAGGAGGTTGGGGAGGAACCTGGGCCATCCCTGGAGACTGGGGAAAGCTCTGATGAGGGATCTGCGTTGGAGGCAGAGAGGGGGCCAGGGCCGTCTGACAGTTATCAGCTGCCTTCGGAGTCAGACATCAGTGAGGCAAACGAACAGCTGGAGCTTTTTTCCAGGGTGCGCATGCACAGAGCTGCCAGACGAAGGGAACATCTAAGGAACAAGGGTCGACTTGGGAGTAAAGCCACAGGTGGACGATGAATGGCCCCTCCCAGAGGGAATAAAAGAGGAGCGAAAGGGGAGTGGACTTTGCAGGAGACAATTAGTTTGTGTAATTGGTTTGTGACTCTCCGTGACTCCTTGCCAACTTTTGAAGATATTGGTCTGGCAGCTTTTCATAAGGTCTGTGACTGTAAATTCACCCTTGAAAGACTTTGCTGGATGTGAATGAGAGGAATTCACAGTAACTTAATAAAAATGGGTTTTTGTCGGGACCAGGAGTCTGCTTCGTGGTTTGGGGAAGCCTAGGTCAGAACAGTAGGGCTTAATACTCACCAATAGATTTCTGGTCAGGATAGAATACAAATCTGCATACAAATCGAAGAATTTGAATTCAAACATATGGCTTGAGAATGCCTTTTGGAAGATGGGTTTTAATCAAGCTAATATTTGGTCTGGTGATAAAAGCATCAGACTAGAAACAAGGGAGTTCTAGACCCATAAAAGCCGATTGGGTGATTTTGGGCCAGTCCCTCTCTTTCATTCGACCCACCTCACAGGGTGGTTGTTGTGAAGAAAATAGAAGGAAGGAAGGAGTATTAGATATGTTTGCCACCTTGAGTTATTTCCAAACGGAGCAGAAATTAACTTCTTTCCGACAGTGAATTTTCTTTTAATGCAAGTACAAAAACAGTTTTAATCACCAAGATTCTAATATTTTGTAGGACACTTGAAAACGGTAGGTATCATTACAGAATCATATAAAAATCCAAATTCTGTTACCAAATGACTCATCCTCTCCACAGCAGACTAGTCCTTGAATCCCAGATTTGCATTTCTGTGATTTCTACAAAAAAGCCAAACGCATCCCACCGCAGTGTGAAATATTTGGAAAACAAAATCTTCCATCTGCCTTATCATCGAGATTTAAAAACATGCCCTGATTGGGCTCATGGGCAATTTCTAGGCCTTTCACATACCGCACTGTCTATTAAGAACAAAGAAGTTTGGCCATTCTTGTTTATATTTATTTATTTACAGTTTCCCCCCCAGGGCTGTAATAGAAAAGTCATTCCTATTCAGTTTCCAAAAACACAAAATGACTGACATAGTATTTCCCCCTCCACAGAGAGGTTTGGTAGTTGGAAAAATGGGGGAAAGCATTGTGCCTATTTTATAGAAGACAATTTCTACCTGAAGTGTAATAAAAAGACAATGCTCCTTCAGCCCAAAAGAGCTCTTTGTTTAACGGCTGCACGGCTCAAATCTGATTTCTAGATAAATAACTTTTAAAAGGCGAGCATCTGATGGTACTCCCTTACTAGCAAGGAGTCTGAGCAATTATCTGGACAGTGCATAAAAAACTTTCTCCCCTTAATGATGACACGGACTGTATTTCTGTTTCAATTTGAGTAATTACTTCTAGTCATACATTAACACCGTTTCTCAACCACGGCAGCTTTAAGAGGGATGGACTTCAACTCCCAGAATTCCCCAGGCAACAAGGCTGGGGAATTCTGGGAGTTGAAGTCCACCTATCTTAAAGCCCTGAGTAAACATAGCTGTATATGTCACGCAAATAACTGAATTCATTTTTAGCAATGCATTAAGGGGAATCCATTTGGATCTACTTCCCCCCCAGGAATGGTTATTTATCTGCCAGCAATTTCTCTTCTCTCGGAAATTCATCTGTTTTACCATCTCAAGTTGATTAAACATAAATGGAACGCACCTAAAGCATGGATTAAAAATTCTTAGATTTGGCTAGCAAAAATGATAAGTAAATTGATAAGTATGCTATGATCCTGGAAAGATCAAGAATTAGAGCCTCAATTCTTTCATGGCATATATGTGAAATTAAATAAATCTGCATACATTTGCCTGTAATAAAAATAGTTGCAGTGCAAAGAAAGGCAATACAGTATTAAGTTTATAAATAAGTCCAGGCGCCATCTTAAAATACACTTACTTTCTCCTGCATGACAGCTTATAAAATGCCTCTTCTAAGATAGAAAAATTTCCCTTTTTACAGTTTCTATAAACATGAACATGAAGAGAAATAGTATTAAAAAAAAATCTGATCAATAAGGCTGTGCTGTATTTTATGGATTAAAACTTTGGATCGATCTGCGTAATTAATTCAATATTTTTAAAGCACCCTTATTATACATTTGAGGCTCACAACAGCTGCCAGCAGCCATAAAAGAGATTATAGGCAATCCAAATCAGTAGCAATGCATAAAAAGACCGAAATATCTGCAATTTCCCCGTTTTTTTTTTTATCCAAAGCATCGATTAAACAAAAATGAAACCTACTTCTTTAAGAGCTGTTTTAAACTACTAAAGGGCACTTGTGATATCTTAGGTATAGCTAAATGGCATTTTGACACACTTTAAAGCCCTTTAAGTCAATATTTATAAAATGTGCATTTATGTTTAAAAAAAAAAAACCAAAAAACTTGGATGAATCACCAAAAGGAGCAGGAGCTGAAATCTACTAATAGATCTTCCTCCCACCTCTTTTCAAACAAACGCGGAGTGCGAAATGCAGCTGTTTTTTTAAACAATAATCCTATGGCAGTTTCGTGTTATATAACGTCCAAAGTTAAGCAAGCAAGGGGAGGGGGAAAAAAAACTGAAAAAAGTGAAGTGTGACCAAAAAGTCTGACAAAACAAAACAAAACAAAACAAAAAGATTAGGAATGAACTTAGTGTAGGTATTATGCCCAAAACGACCTGCTCGTTTTAGAACGCTTCCCGTAAAACAGGTTATGCAACGATGGCTACTTTACGACCCGTGGACTTCAACTCCCAAAATTCCTGCTGGCTCAGGAATTCTAACACTTGATGTCCACAGGTCAGGAATTCTGGGAATTGATCTTCACAGGTCATAAAGTGGCCACGGTTGCACATTCCTGCTTTAAAGCTTGTAAAAGAACCAAGGGAAAAAAATGTGGCATCTGGAAGAGAGGAGTGTTAAAATTTGCAAATTCCTTGCAGGTTTTCACACATACACATACACACCCCTGTAGGCACCTTTATCCAATGTTTCCTGGAGCCAGGCACGGTTCAGAAGCTACCATCGCCTTCTGCAAAAGCCTGTGGCCAAAGGAGAAACTGCAACTTCTCATGTTAAAAATAAACTCGAGGGGGTAGACAGCTTGGCACACCCAAGAAAAACTTGGTGAAGGAACTTCGTGATATCCGGGAGCGTTTGGCGGATCAGAAAAGGACATCTGGACCAGTCGAATTACCGTTGTCTCCTGTTGTAAACTGGCCCAGTTTAAAGAGACTGGATATGCACAGGTCGTTTCCTATGTGACACTTCCCATGAAACACGGAGCCTGGGGCTGACGCATCATCACCTCTTCGTTTTCCCTTGAGGAACGGCCTCCGTCAAAGGCAGATGGATGAATTCGTAGAGCTGCTTGGCATTGGCAGCGTTGCCCAGAAGTTCGGCCAACTTCTCTTGAGAAAAAGATATCAGTTCTGCGATACTCTCGACGTGATTCATTACGGCCTGGCAGTTTTTCGAATTGATTCCAGGCATTTTTAGCAAGAAGTCTTGAGGGCCGGGGTTGTATTTGTCCCGTTCAGGGAGGGTTTCTGAATCGGCCGTGATGGCCAAAGCCGCCGTTGCGTCAGGCTGAGGCCTGTTCTGTTTCAATTCTTCGAACACTTCGGCCGTGGCGTGCGGAGAAGGGCACCACAGGAGCCGGAGGCGCGGGAAGTGAAGCGTCAGGAGGGCGAGCTTGGAGATCACGTCGTTGCTGGAGATCTCTTGGTACAGAGAAGCCCGGGGAGTGAGAGAAAAGGGTTTGCTGGCGTCAAACTCAATGAGCAGGACAGGCCGTTGATAGTAGCGAGACATGGAGACGCACTGAGTGTACAACCTGCCATTATTGAGGGAGCCGATGAGGTCGCTGGTGCTCTTGCGCTCCACACAGATGTCCGGGGTGAGAATGTAATCCCCGACTTCTAATGTCACGGGCTCGATGTCGATGCCCCGCCGATGAATCAAGGAGGGAAGCTCGCTGCGAAATTCACGCATGTCCACCACGATCCTGTGCTGCACAGCCTTCTGGTGTTGGCCACCTAAGTTGTGAGAGATGGAGGTCATTTCATATGAATTAACAACATTCCCAGTTGCAATGGATGGCTGTGAAAGTTGGACCATGAGGAAGGCCGAGCACCAAAGAATGGAGGCCTTTGAACTCTGGTGCTGGAGAAGACTCCTGCGAGTCCCTTGGATTGCAAGGTGATCCAACCGGTCAGTCCTAGAGGAGATCAACCCTGACTGCTCTTTAGAAGGCCAGATCCTGAAGAGGAAACTCAAATCCTTTGGCCACCTAATGAGAAGGAAGGACTCCCTGGAGAAGAGCCTAATGCTGGGAACAATGGAGGGCAAAAGAAGAAGGGGACGGCAGAGAATGAGGTGGCTGGATGGAGTTACTGAAGCAGTCGGTGTGGACTTAAATGGACTCCAGAGGATGGTAGAGGACAGGAAGGCCTGGAGGAACGTTGTCCATGGGGTCGCGATGAGTTGGACATGACTTCACAACCAACAACAACAACAACAGGGAGCTTGGCCCTAGCCTGAGCACTAACAGATTGTCTAGTTGCAGTATGGGAAGTGGCTGTGAATTTGCCTTGCATCCTAAGACATCCCAGTTTAAGCTTAAGGATGAAGATATTCCAAAGATGAAAAGCCAAACTGTAGGTAGTCCTTGATTTATGACTAGAATTTCCATTGCTAAGCAAGGCTGCTGTAAAGTTACGCCTGGTTTTGATACTTTTTTTTACCACTGTTAAGCAAATCACCATAGCTGTGAAGTGACTCATGAGTGCATTAGTTAAATTTATTTCCCCATTTCCTTGTTGGAAGCCAGCTGGGAAGATCGGAAATGGTGATCACATGAAACCAGGAGACCCCGAGTTCTGGTCCTGCCTTGGCTAGCCACTTTCTGTCAGCCCTAGGAAGGAGGCAATGGCAAACCACTTCTGAAAGACCTTGCCAAGAAAACTGTAGGGACTTGTCCTGAAAATCAGACACAGTTGAATGGAAGGAAAACAAATTGCTAGTTTACAGCAGTCGTGCATATTTAGGGTGCCAGCTAGCACTACCCAGGGTGAACCCTTAAAAATGGAATTGTTAATCAATCCATGTACAAATAAAAGCTATCTTAAGCGATGTGGAACATTCACACAACCTGTCTTGCCCCCATTGGAGTCTGACTCGGAGATGGAAGATGAACAGCTGACAGAGAGCGAGAGAGTGGCTCCGTTGGCTGTGGAGGAAACTGGGGAAGGGCAAAGTCAGGCTGGGCAGAGCAGAGGAGAGTTAGAACAAGGGAGAGGGGGTTCAGATGAAGACCAAGGCCCACCCCTTCCTCATTCTAGGGCACGCAGGGAAGAACGGAGAAGAGAGCAACGTGGGTTGCGTGGCTTACGAGGGATGAAAGGGGCCCGATTTCCTTCACAAGGCACACCTGGGGATGGAGTTTAAAGGAGAGGCAAATGGGAGGGGCAGTTGTCGGGAACAAACACTGAGTTCATCTCGTGTTAACTGCTTTCTCTGAGTTCCTGGCGTCCTCCCAACTGGATTGATTTACTGCCGTGCTACTTCAGTTCTGGAACTCCTTATCTTGCTTGCCCTGCCGAATTAATTACCTTATCTTGCCTTGTTGGATTTATAGTTGGAAGCTTTTTCTGCTTAGAACAAGTGGACTGGAGCATTTCTAGCCAAAGACTGTTACAGGTTTATTGGAGAGCTTTTCTCCTGACCGGAGAGTAAAAGGGACGTTGGGGGCAAAGTTGGAGCTAATAAAGGGACTCAGAATTATTCTCTGGTTGTGTTGCCTTTGTGCCACGCCCCGGGTCATCACACAACCATTTCATGAATCAATGTGAATCCAGCCTCCCAAAAAGGGACAGAGACTGAGACACGGTCTTAAAAAGAGTTGCAGAGAGCCCCAAACAGACCTGCTTTGCGTGTGTCAATTGAAACGGTGGCTGCTGTGGAATCTCTTGCTAAATCCAAATTGGTTTCATCCCGCCCTTCTCTTTCTTCCGGAATTACCATGCCGGCCTTCTCTCTGAAAGGAAGGAGAGAAAAAGGATGCATTCAGTAGTACTTAACTTTTAAGCTCTAAAACTGTCCAGCTTGAATGTAGGGGGAGAAAAAAAAAATCCACTCTAGAGCCATCAACATGTTTTAATTCTTGAGTTGGTGACAAGATAGGCAGCTATAGAAATGTTTTAATGCATAAATAAATGAAATTCCTCCCGTGGCCACAAGGCATGGCCACTGAGTGCTCTGCCTGGAGATGATGGACGGTGTTATTATCTATCAAACTGTATTTGATGGGGGAAGGTCCAGCTTGTAACTCACCACTAGCTGGGAAATACACGAGGATGAATGGAAATAGTTTTAATTTACTAACTTCTATTTCTGCAGGGCAGAAACTGGGGCAATTAAATATAGGTAGTCCTTGACTTACAACCATTCGTTTGGTGACTGTTTGAAGCACAGCACTGAAAAGTGACATAGGCCGTTTCCCCCCACCCCCCATGCTTACGACTGTTGCAGCATCCCCATGATCACGTGATCGAAATTCGGATGCTTGGCAACTGTCTCGTATTTATGACCGTTCCAATGTCCCCGAGTCACATGATCCCATTATGCATCCTTCTGACAATGAAAGTCAATGGGGAAGCACTCTCTCTCTCTCTCTCTTCCTCCCTCCCTCTCTCTCTCTCTCTCTCCAAGCCATCCTTTCATTTATCCATCTGCTATCTATCCATCCATTCATCCCTCTATCCATCCCTCTATCTATCCATCCATCCATCCATCCATCTATCCATCCCTCTATCTATCCATCCCTCTATCCATCTATCTGCTCTCGGTCTGTCTGTCTGTCCGTCCTTCCATCCATCCATCCATCCCTCTATCTATCCATCCCCCTATCTATCCTTCCCTCTGCTCTCGGTCTGTCTGTCTGTCCGTCCTTCCTTCCTTCCATCCATCCATCCATCCCTCTATCTATCCATCCATGCATCCATCCCTCTATCTATCCATCCCTCTGTCTATCTATCAATCCATCCCTCTATCTATCCATCCCTCTATCCATCTATTTGCTGGCTGTCCATCCATCCATCCATCCATCCATCCATCCATCCATATCTACCTACTTACCCTGTTTCCCAAAAATAAGACATACCCGGATAATAAGGCCAATCGGGCTTTTGAGCGCATGCGCTAAAATAAGCCCCCCCCCGAAGATAATCCCTCCCCAAAAATATTTAAACGCATGCGTAGCTGGTCCCCGCCATTTCCTCTGGTTAGGGTTAGGGAGATAGAGCTGGAAATCAGGTAAAACAGCAAGAGGAGCCCCGTCTTGCTCCACACGCCCCAAAATAATAAGACCTCCCCGAAAATAAGGCCAAGCGCTTATTTCGGGGTCCAAAGAAATATAGGACAGGGTCTTATTTTCAGAGAAACATGGTATCTATCAAATTTATTTGCCACCCATCTCTTATCCAATGACTTGTCCTCTTTTTCCATTACAGAGCGCTGGATTAAAACTGGAAAGGCTCAAATCCCTTTGGTTGCCTTTCGATCGTTTATCATTCTCTCCACCCGACATTCACACAGAGAGGGAGAAACCATACACCACTTCATCACCAAGGAGAAGATACTAACACACGCCTGCCTGCCTCCCACGCCTGCCGCAGATAAAGGGATGGGAGCGAATTCACCAAGACTCCCTCTGCCTGCTTCCTCTCTCACATGTTATATAATTCACTGCCCATCCTCTCCATCATTTTACGTAAGTTTGCTACCTTGGAAACATGGAAAGGGAAGAGGAGGACAAGGGCTGCGTAGCAACAGAAAAGCTCTAGCAGTCTTCCAAATGGGTAGAAATCTTTTTGGGGAGTTTTCGCAGAGAATGGCATTTATAGGAATTGGCATTAAAACCTGGCCAATTTTAGAGGAGAAAGAACTGGAAAAAATGACTCAGCCTCTGTCAGCCCTCCGAGGTAGACCAGTCTAGGAAACTATACCGATTGTGTTGACCTAAAGACTTGGCTCTGAGAATTGGCCCGGGGACCCCAATGTGGGGAGTTTGACCCTGGAGGTGGCTGCTAGATTGACAGCAGTCTCCATGTCCCCCATCCCTTGCTCGCTGCTCCCAACTCGGCCATCTTAGCTTTTTTTTACTAATCATACTGCTGTACTTCCTTTTTCTTTTTCATTTTCCTTTCATGTTCTTTAAACTTTGGAATTAGAATTCAGAATTCAGAATAAAACAGAGCTGGAAGGGACCTTGGAAGTCTTCTAGTCCAGCCCTCTGCTCAAACAGGCGAACCTATAAATTCCCTTTTATTTCTTCACTGGTTGAAGGTTCTGAGCTGCCTAAAGTTTTGCCCCATTTTACGGCCTTTCTTGCCACCATCGCTAAGCGAAGCTCTGCCGTCGTTAAGTTAGTCATACGGTTGTTAAGTGAATCTGGCTTCCCCCTCGTTGACCTTGCTTGTCAGAAGGTCACAAAAGGGGATCCCGGGAGACACTGCGACCATCATAAATAGGAGTGTCAGTTGCCAAGCATCTGAATTTTGGGGAGGGAATGCTGCAATGGTCATAAGTGTGAAAAATCGCCATGTCACTATTTTCAGTGTCACTGTAACTTCGAAACAGTCACTAATCAAACTGCTGTAAGGTGAGGACTGCCTGTAATAATAACATCTGCCTATTCCAGCTCCTTGGAAAAGACTCGACAGGTAGACAAAAATGCCCAAATCCATCCTGAACATCTGGTGGACTATAGAACCGTAATTCTAAAGGTAGTCCTCGACTTACGACCACAATCGAGCCCCACATTTTTGTTGTTAAGTGACACATTCGTTCAGTGAGTTTGGCCCCATTTTACGACCGTTCTTGCCATGGTTGTTAAGTGGTTCGCTGCAGTTGATAAGTTACTGACCCGATTGTTAAGTGAAACCGGCTACCCTCTTGACTTTGCTTGTCGGGAGGTCAAAAAAAAAAAAAAAAAAAAGGGGGGGGGGGGGAGGGTGTCACATGATCTCGGGACACTGCAACGGTCATAAATATGAACCAGTTTTGCCAAGCCTCTGAATTTTGATCGCGTGACCCGAGGGGGTTGCTGCAAAGGTCGCCGTTCTGAAAAACAGTCCAAAGTCACTTTTTTTTCCAGTGCCGCCGTAACTTTGAACGGTCACTAAACGAAGGGCTGCAAGTCGAGGACTACCTGTATCGGGTTGAATCTTTGGGGCAAAATTCTCTCCTGTTGTACGCTGGAGTGATGGGGTCTCAAGGGACTTGTGATGAACTGAAGCCACACCACTGCTCGGCACAGCTCAAAGTGCCCCACAGCCAGTGGTGAAATCCCAATTTTTTTTACTACTGGTTCTGTGGGCGTGGCTTGGTGGGCGTGACAGGGGAAGGATACTGCAAAATCCCCATTCCCTCCCCACTCCTGGGGGAAGGATATTGCAAAATCTCCACTCTGGGACCAGCCAGAGGTGGCATTTGCTGGTTCTCCGAACTGCTCAAAATTTCCGCTACTGGTTCTCCAGAACCTGCTGGATTTCACCCCTGCTCACAGCTCATTGTTGCTGACACAATATAAAGTACTAGCTGGACGCTTGTGCTTCGCTATGAAACTATGTGCTCAGGCTTGATAAATTGACACTTAAAGCCTGGAACTGTAGAATGTAGAATGTGTAAGTCCGTAGCATCAGACTGTGTTAATATAAGGCAACTGGCAGTTGGGACAGAGTTCCTTTCAGGTGGGGAGGGTATATACATACATACATACATACATACATACATACATACATACATACATACATATTAATGCATTCTAAAGGCAAAGTCCAAGAGGCCTTTTACCGAATGAGTTTTTCAAAAGCTTCCTTCTCTTTCCTTAGCATGGTCAGGTAGCGCTGTTCTTCCGTCGACCCTCCGTAGATCAGGAAATAAACCCTGCAAGGCAAGACAAGAAACTTTTTCAAATCCAAAAGGCGCCGGCTGGATGGCTAAACGCACTCCATCCTGGCTTGCAAAATAAGCCACGATGGCCGAGGCATATTCATAATGCTAAACCATTCATCGTGTCTTATGTATTACAACACCAAAGTCTACTAAATGAACATCAGCTTAATGCGAATCCAGATCATCTGTTTCCTCTAGGTTTCCTGAAGATTAAAATAAAAAATAAATACGGCCTCAATAGCACCTTCTTAATTCTCCACAGGTGTGTCATAATCTCCTTGCCTTGGGCCAGCCAGCCCTGGGTTCTCTAAGCCTCTGAGCAACAAGCGAGTTTTCCGCTTTAATAAGAATTAAGATTAAGGCTCTCCTAATTAATAAGAATTAAACCCTGTGATTCATTGTGTGTAGGCAGGAGAGGCTGGGATCCGATTTCACAACCTACACGTCCTTCCTCGTTATAAGACCCTGAGTAAATACTGCAAAATGACTGTAGGCATGTACTCATTTCGCCAGGCCAAATCCAGTTGGGTCTATTTAAAAAAGAAAGAAAGAAAGAAAGAAAGAAAGAAAGAAAGAAAGAAAGAAAGAAAGAAAGAAAGAAAGAAAGAAAGAAAGAAAGAAAAAGAAATAAATAAATGGCATTATTTTTATAAATAGAAGACAACATTTGTAGTGCAGAATTGAACTGTGGCATCTGTTGGCACTCTCTAAGCTTGGTTATTTTCTTGCAGACATTTTCATGACCCGACTAGGTAACATCATCAGAGCTACAGGAAGTGGAGTTTGCTCTCTGTTCATACAGTGGTTTGCCCTGTTAGTGTTGGTGGGAATGTTCTCGCTGGCTTCTTGATTAAGCTGTTCTTCACAGCATTGTTAGTACTCTTAGTCCCACTAATTGGTTAATGAAATGTCTTCAAGAAAACAAGCAAGCTCAGAGTCTGTAGAGATTCTCAGTCATCCAGGTCATGCAGCAAAACCGTGACCTGGATGACGGAGAATCTCTACAGACTTTTGGATGAACACCCTTGGAATGGTGTGGAAGTAGGAATGGATTTCCAGAGGGGGAAAAAATGCAGACTGCAGGAACCAGGAGCATTAACTCAGGTGACCCTGAGGACACAGACAAACATCCAAGTGGCCTCAATGACCCTCTAAAAGGATGCAAATGACCAGCTGGCTGCAAGGAATATAAATCCTTCCATCCTTCACCATCCAGTCAGAGCTGAAGAAGCTTCTTGGATGAGAAGCAAAACATCTTCAAAGGAAAAAAAAAAGAAGAAAGTCCAGGTGCTTTGCTTGTCCAGTTGGGACAAGCAAGCCGGAGAACACCAAAGACCTCTCACATTTTTATTTTTATTTTTTGTTCCTATTTATTTATTTATTTATTTATTTAATTTATTTATTATATTTCTATACCGCCTTTCTCCCGTAGGACTCAAGGCGGTGTACAGTCAAGAAAAATATAGACACACAAACATCATAAAATTGTTAATTAAAATTATTACTTAGTTTGGTCAATTAAATAAAACCCAGAATTAGATAACATTTTAAAAAATCATTCACATGTTTGTATGTTTAGCCCCGCCTGTTGGAACATCAGGGTCTTGAGGGCACGGCGGAAAGCACGGAGATCAGGGATATTCCGTATCTCCGGGGGCAGTTCATTCCAAAGGGTTGGAGCCCCCACAGAGAAGGCCCTCCCCCTGGGAGTCGCCAGTCGGCATGATTTGACTGACGGTACCCTGAGTAGTCCCTCCCTGTGAGAACAAACTGGTCGGTGGGAGGCTATTGGTGGCAAAAGACGGTCTCGTAGGTACCCAGGTCCTAAGCCATGGAGCGCTTTAAAGGTGATAACTAACACCTTGAATCGCACCCGGAAGACCATCGGGAGCCAGTGCAGCTCGCGTAGGAGAGGTGTTACATGGGCGTAACGAGCTGCACCCATAATCACCCGCACGGCTACATTCTGGACCAGCTGGAGCCTCCGGGTGCTTTTCAAGGGGAGCCCCATGTAGAGAGCATTACAGTAGTCCATACGGGAGGTAACTAGGGCATGAGTGACCGTGCGCAAGGCGTCCCGATCCAGAAAGGGACGCAACTGGCGGATCAGTTTTAGCCTGGAGTATAAACATAACCAGAACAATCTCCTTCAGCCATTGCTCCCTTTCAAGCCAACGTTACCTCAACGGCTTTCCTGGTCTGCTGGCCTTGTAAACTTCCAGCTGGCGAACAAACGTCAGCTCGGCATCGTACAAGACGACGTATCTGGGCTCCACCTCGTGCAAGACGGACGTGAGGGCGTACGGATCCCCGCAGCCATTTAAAGGATGGATGACGGTCAGCGGTTCCTTTAGGATGCCGTAATAGGCATCGGAGGAGGACAGTTTTAACTGGAGACCCTCGGATCTTTCCCCGTTGCTCTCCTGGCTGCTGTTGAGGTCCTCAGAATCTCCTTCTTCTACCTTGATGTTTTCCTGGTGCTCCGTGTTCAACATTTGCGTCAAGGTTAACTCTGCCTTTTTCTTTTTCCTTTTCGGCTTGGAGGATTCCGTTTTGGCTTTCTTGGCTAGCGGTTCTTGGCCGTTCTTGTCACGGTCTTTGGCCTCTCTCCGGTTCTTCAGGCCGGCCGCGTTCGCTTCCTTGTCCGACCCGAAGGTTTTGTTGTAGAGTCTGGTTAAATAGGCTTCGGTCCCAATGGTGATGTATTCCTTGAGCTGAGCGCAGGTACGGTCATCGCTGGCACATACCAGCACTCGGCCTGCAGCCAAAGAGAGTTTCCACGCGTACGGCTTGAAATCAAGTCAACCTTTCCTCTCCTACAGGGGGTCCTCGAATTGCAACCAGAGCTTCTGTTGTGATGCCAACCAAAGAGGGTGGGTGCCTGACTTTATGATGATTATGTAAAACACTGCGATTGATAAATGAATCCCGCAGTCGTTTAAGCGAGCCCCGGCTTCCCCTTCCTTGACTTTGCTGGTTGGAAGATGGCTGGGGAGGTCACAAATGGGGATCATGCCGGTTGCCAAGTGCCCGAATTTTAATCACGTGACTGGGAGGATGCAGTCATAAGTGCAAGAACCAGTCCTAAGTCACCTTTATTTTTCCAGTAGCAGTGTAACTTTGAATGGTCACTAAAGGAATGGTTGTAAGTCGAGGACCATCTGTATTTTTAACAGGAAAAAAATAAGTCTGGAGTCTTCACAAAATAGGGCATCTGTCATCATCCTTCTAATAAGTGCTATTGTTTGGGGACTCAGCTAGCCTGGGACAATATATCTGAAGTTCAAGTGAAGAGGTTTCAGGATGGAATGAAGGGATATCCTTCCTTCCTTCCTTCCTTCCTTTCCTTCCTTCCTTCCTCCTCTTCCTCCTCTTCCTTCCTTCTTCCCTCCCCCCTTCCTTCCTTCCTCCCTTTTCCTCCCTCCCTCCCTGAAGAATCTCTCCCTTTACACAGCTCCAAAATTATATATATTTTTTAACGATTTCAACACATTTATGATTTTGACAATGCTAATTGTCCAGGCTGCCTCAGGAGATGGTGTCTTTTTTTAACTTGAGGCTGGACCTTAGGAATGGAAGCAGGGATGGGCTGCTGGGGGTTCGCAGGGGTTCGGGAGAATCTCTAGCTAAGATTCTGTGCAGTTCGGAGAACCCCCAAATCCCACTCCTGGCTGGCCCCGCCCACACAGGCCCTCCCCTCCCAGGAGTCCCCACACGGCCCATTTTGAATGCAGGTAAGCACAGGGCGCGCACGGAGGCTCAGGGAGGGCGAAAAACAGGCCTACTGGAAGTTCGGGAAGGCTGGAAACGAGCCTGTTTCTGGCCTCCAGAGGGCCTCCAGAGGCTGGGGAGGCCATTTTCACCCTCCTGGAGGCTTGAGAAAAGTCTCTGGAGCCCGGGAAGGGCATACCCCCGCCCCACCATGGTGCAGGAGACCGACTAGGCCACACCCACCATGGCCACGCCCACACCCACCCAGCAACCGGGCAGAGAACCTCTTGCTAAAATTTTTGAAGCCCACCCCTGAATGGAAACCTCGACCGGATGACTTTAGAGCTGTTTTCACAGGACTCCCAGATTATTTGACAATATCACACTTTTCTCCTCCTCCTGCCAAAACGTCTTTACATCCAGCCTCTATTTTGCTGGAGGCAACAGAGTTCTTTCGGAGTCCGTGTGGAGTCTACTTCAAATTTCAAAAGAGGCCTCTTGCCCTTGAAGTGTGCCTAAAGAAGGCAGATGCTCCCAATGAGGTTTCTGGCTGTCTCACCCTGTCCATCCTTGTCTGGAGGTAGGTCCTCACCTGGCCCACCGAGGGCTTCGCTGTCGGCGTTCTCCTTTTCAATCTCCTTCAGCACTTCTCCCAGAGCTTCCCACTTCGGACTGCTTTCCAGGACCAATTCTCGCTTCTGTTCTGAAAGGGGACACAAATTATGAGGGTTTTTTCCCCCCTATTTTCAGCATCAGCTCAACATCAAAGGTTTTTGTTTTGTTTTGTTTTTTAAATTTGGTGATTATAAGCTTGTACAGGAGCCCTGGAACAATATTGGAATTACTGTATTTTTCGGAGTATAAGATGCATCGGAGTATAAGATGCACCAAGATTTTGAAGAGGTAAACAAGGAAAAAAAAGTTATTGCCCTCCCCGGCCCCCAAAAAACTCTGCAGGCCTCCCAAACCCTCTGCAAAAACGGGACGCACGGGGCGGGGTTTCAGAAGGCCAAAAAATGGCTGCATTCGGTGTATAAGACGCACCAACATTTCCACCCACTTTTAGGGGGGAAAAAGTGCATCGTAAACTCCAAAAATACAGTATATTAAAAATTATTTGAGAACAGTGTGCCCTATCTATTCAGAAGCCCACCCCCCAGAAAAAACCCTATACAGGTAGTCCTTGACTTACGACCACAATTGAGCCCAACGTTTATGTTGCTAAGTAAGAAATTTGTTAAGTGAGTTTCGCCCCATTTCACAATCTTTCTTGCCACGTTTGTTAAGTGGATCACTGCCCTTGTTAAGCTAGTAACCCGGTTGTTAAGGGAATCTGGTTTCCCATTGACTTGTCGCAAAAGGGGATCACGTGCCCCTGGACACTGTAAGCATCATTTCATAGTTATAGCTACATGTTGTGGCCCGCCAGCGGCCAGCAGAGCTGGTGGCAGTCTCAGACAGTGAAGAGGTTGGGGAGGAACATGGGCCAGTCCTGGAGTCTGGGGAAGGCTCTGATGAGGGCTCTGCGTCGGAGGCAGAGAGGGGGCCAGGGCCGTCTGACAGTTATTACCTGCCTTCGGAGTCAGACATCAATGAGGCAGAAGAACAACTGGAGCCTGTTCCCAGTGTGCGCATGCGCAGAGCTGCCAGAGGAAGGGAACAGCTAAAGAACAAGGGTCGACTCAGGAGTAAAGCCACAGGTGGACGATGAAGTGCCCCTCCCAGAGGGAATAAAAGAGGAGCGAAAGGGAAGGGGAGTTTGCAGGAGACAATCAGTTTGCTTAATTGGTTCGTGACTCCTTGCCAAGTTTTGAAGATATCGGCCTGGCAGCTCTCCTAAGATGCTACATCGGTGAAGAAGGGTGTGCTATACCTTTCGCTTCTTTGACCTCTGTTTTCTCCGAGCCTTTTTTTTTCTTATTCGCGTTATCTTCTGGCAGGCGATAAACTCTACTCCGAGCGTTCAGAAACATTGATGTACTAGAATCCAGAAAAAGCCAGCCTAGGAGTAAGATAAGACGATAAAGAGAGATAAACGTTAAATATAAACTTGACCAGTGATGTTCAAAGGAAGAAAACTTTATTTTGCAATGCAGGTGTTTGGAGCCATTACAGATCATCCTCATCTTACGACTGCAATGGAGCCTATCTGTTACGATCGTAAAGTTGTGACCGTTGTAAATGGAGGTCTTCATAGGACCGATCCGATTTTGTTTTACAAAAAAAGGTCGTGAAGCAAATCACAACTTCTGGAGGCAAGTTGTTCCACTGATTAACTGTTCTAACAGTCAGGAAATTTCTCCTTAGTTCTAGGTTGCTTCTGTTTCGTACATTAACAAAGTGTGCCTATTAGTACATTAATAAATATGCCTATCACAGGCAGTTAATAAACCAGGAAATTCACCCCAAGTCCTATCACATGTAGGACTATCGCAAAATTGATATGTCAACGAAATGAGGGATTAAAAAAAAAAAAAGCTTAAAAGATAAGCCAATTCTCTTTTTTTTTTTTTTTACCCCAACATACTTGTTTGAGGCAGGCATACGTGCCATGCTCCCCTCCCTACAACCCCAGAAAAAAGATTTACCACTTAATTTTGCTTTTGGCTTGAACCTGCCCCAACAGATGGCAACAGAAACGCTAATAATTTCCACGTGTGATAAATGTCTTGAAATAACCCGGCTTCCAGATCCTTACGTTTCCCTTCTTCCCTTCCCAGCGGCCAAGACCTCCTTATATAATGACTAAGGCATCTGATTGTGAACGGTACACGTTTTTTTCAAGCAACAGCCGTTAAGTGGGAGGCTGGATATATTTCGTGTCCTCCAGCCTTCTGGAGAGATGGGAACATTCGGGAACATTGGCCCGCGTGTGTGTTTGCTGTTTTTGCTTCTAATTAAAACTTTCGCTTTTTTATCGTGGAGTGAACTGACACCGTGCCTACCTGAATTCTGACCGAAAGCTTTTTCCGACACTTTGAGGGATTCTAAAAGATGAAGGAAAGTGACGCAGTCGTACTGAGTCAAGTACTGTAGCAATGTACGGAGGATCTTCAAATCTTGGACCAGGGATTTGGTCTTGGATCCAAGCTGGTGCCAAAGAGGATCTAAATAATGACGGATTGTCTGGAAATACAGCATTGGGAATCGTGGTTAGCGCGTGATGCAGCCATCGATGCTTGATCCAAACCAGCTGATCTCTTAACAGATTTAGCAAAAGCACTTCCGACTTATATACCGCTTCACCGGGCTTTTACAGCCCTCTCTAAGCAGTTTACAGAGTCAGCCTATGGCCCCCAACAATCTGGGTCCTCATTTTACTGACCTCGGAAGGATGGAAGTCAACCTTGAGCCTGGTGAGATTTGAACTGTTGTCAGTTGGCAGAATTAGCCTGCAATACTGCATTCTAACCACTGCACACATTGGAGGAAGGAAGGAAGGAAGGAAGGAAGGAAGGAAGGAAGGAAGGAAGGAAGGAAGGAAGGAAGGAAGGAAGGAAGGAAGGAAGAAACAATAGCAATAGCCCTTAGACTTATATACCGCTTCACAGTGCTTTACAGCCCTCTCTAAGCGGTTTACAGAGCCAGCCTCTTGCCCCCAACATTCTGGGTCCTCATTTTACCCACCTCGGAAGGATGGAAGGCTGAGTCAACCTTGAGCCTGGTGAGATTTGAACTGCTGTCAGTTAGCAGAATTAGCCTGCAATACTGCATTCTAACCACTGCACACATTGGAAGGAAGGAAGGAAGGAAGGAAGGAAGGGAAGGAAGGAAGGAAGGAAGGAAGGAAGGAAGGAAGGAAGGAAGGAAAGAAGGAAGGGAAGGAAGGAAGGAAAGGAAGGAAGGAAGGAAAGAAGGAAGGAAAATATCACTTAGACTTATCTACCACTTCACAGTGCTTTGCAGCCCTCTCTAAGCAGTTTACAGAGTCAACCTATCACCCCCAACGATCTGGGTCCTCATTTTACCAACCTCAGAAGGATGGAAGGCTGAGTCAACCTTGAGCCGGTGAGAATCGAACTGCTGGTAGTCAGCAGAGTTAGCCTGCAATACTGCATTCTAATACAGTATTTAGTATTTGGAGGGCTGCAAACCTTTAAAAAGAACCAAGTCATAGATTTCTTTCCATTCTTCAATGTTGCCCATTCACAGCCACACCTGATTCCATTGAAATTTTTTGTTCGACTTTTAGGGACCTTAGATTAAAGCTGTTTAGCCCAAGATTATTATTATTTTTTTAGACAAAAAAAAAAAAGAATTCTGATTCCAATGATGTTATGATCCTGGCACACAACCGCCCAATAAAAGAACATTTATTTCATTGTTAACGAGCTTACGATAAGCAAGCCAGAGACTTGGAGACCTCATAAAACATTCTTTTATGTAAAAACACAGTTCAAGTATTAACAGATGTCAGCCCCTCCGTTAAAAAATAAAAAAAATTAGACTGCTCCCTAAACTAAACACAGCTGGAAAGAAAGGAGAAAAGTTCAACTGGGAGAGTTTTGACTAGGTGCTGCTGAAGCTCATGACATTTCGCAAAACATAAAAAAAAAAAAAAAAAAAAGCAAAAATAAAACCACAGCGAAATTCCTTCCAAAAGAAACAGATGCGCAATCTGAAGAGGCTTTTGCTAAATTAAAGGGAAGGGAAACTGCCGTTAATGAACGTAAGATGCATTGCTTCTTTGGATGGCCAACAATCAACAGAAACATCACTACTTTTTCCTCATAACTTAGCATTATAACTCCATAACTGTCTGGTTTGGCTCTGCAACCCAACAGGACAGACACAGACTTCAGAGGATAATTAGAATTGCGGAAAAAACAATGGCTACCAACCTGCCTTCCACTGAGGACCTGTATACTGCACGAGTCAAAAAGAGGGCTGTGAAAATATCTACAAACCCCTCGCATCCTGGACATAAACTGTTTCAACTCCTACCCTCAAAACGACGCTAGAGAGCACTGCACACCAGAACAACTAGACACAAGGACAGTTTTTTCCCAAACACCATCACTCTGCTAAACAAATAATTCCCTCAACACCGTCAAACTATTCACTAAGTCTGCACTACTATTCATCTTCTCATCGTTCCCATCACCCATCTCCTCCCACTTATGATTGTATGACTGTAACTTTGTTGTTTGTATCTTTACGATTTATATTGATAGTTTCCTAGTATGATTTGATTGCTTATTTGTACCCTATGACTATCATTAAGTGTTCTACCTTATGATTCTTGACGAATGTATCTTTTCTTTTATGTACCCTGAGAGCGTATGTACCAAAGACAAATTCCTTGTGTGTCCAATCACACTTGGCCAATAAAGAATTCTATTCTATTCTATTCTATTCTATTCTATTCTATTCTATTCTAATTCTAATTCTAATTTAATTCTATTCTATGATTCTTTATGAATGTATCTTGTCTTTTTATGTACTCTGAGAGCTTATGCACCAAAGACAAATTCCTTGTGTGTCCAATCACACTTGGCCAATAAAGAATTCTATTCTATTCTATTCTATTCTATTCTATTCTATTCTATTCTATTCTATTCTAGCCAAGCATTTCCTCCTCTGAGCTGGGAATTCTTCCCCGGAATATCCTTCAAATGCTACAGCTAAGTGTCAGCCCTGGTGTGCCTGGAGGCCTGGGGCTGCCATTCCGGCGGGTAACTGAGACCCGCACGGCCATGCCACACCCGCCACGCACCATACCGCTTCACAGGACCAACAGACTCATGCCAGAATGCCGGCCAGATGGGCGAGGACAGGCCAGACCCAATTGCCCTTGCTGAATCTGCAGCCGAGCAGCTGTGAAGCAGCCACAGAACTGAGAAGCAGGGCAGGCATCTGCACCCTGGGTGTGCCTAGCCAATTGCAGCCTAATGGTTTCTGCATGATGGGTGAATGGGCGGGGCTGGGAAGAGGCTTAAATGGTGGGCGGTTAGTCCTGACACTGTTTTCACATGGTGACCGCCAGTTCGTGCTGGAGTTACTGTATTTTTCAGAGTATAAGATGCACCTTTACCCCCCCAAAAGGGGGTGAAACTTTAGGTGCGCCTTATACACCGAATGTAGCCCCGCCCACCCACTGGCCCCCACCCTTTGGCCTCTGCCTCCCAGCAGTTTACCTCCTTGCAGCAAACAGCAAGAAGAAACAGCCCGTTTCAGCTTCAGCACAGCCTAATTAGCACAAGTTGATTGGATCGGCCTCCTGATTCTTTGCGTGGGCCTCTGCTGCTTGCTGCAAGGAGGTAAATTGCTGGGAGCAGATTTTTTTTTTTCTTGTGCTAATCAAGCTATGCTGAAAACGAACACGAAAGTAAAGCAGGCTGTTTGCTGCAAGGAGGCAAAATTGCTGGGAGGCAGAGGGAGATTTTCTTTTTCTTGTTTTCCTCACCAAAAAAAGGTAGATGCGTCTTATACTCCGAAAAATTTGGTATTTGTGACGAAGATAAACCAATTGCAACCCAGGACTGTGTCCTATGCTTTCGTTCCACGAATTACCGGAACCTGACATAAAGCTTGGGAAGCTGAAGGCTCTTTCGTCTTCATTTCAGCTCCCCAGACCATTATCTCCTCGTTACTGAATGGCCACCTCCTCCCAAAGAGGCTCAACCGCAAGGAAGTCCAACTTAGATCCTGCAATTAATGCAGCTTTAGTAATCAGCACAGAAATATCACCGAATCAGAGGGAACGCGAGTCCAACTTTTTAGAACGCCCATGTCTGGAAGTAATACATTTTGATTCGGAGAAACAAACGTTACTACTCTCAAGACTTCTACGAATCAATGCACTCCGCAGGGCAAGCTGATGAGAAGGGCGCCCCCGACTTCGCCAAAGAAGAGGTACCTTTTCAAACGCCGTGCCAATGGCATTTTCTAAGGACAGATCCTCCACTTCCAGAGCAGGGTTGCACTGCTTCAGTTCCTTCAGACAGGCGTTCAGGATGTCCAGTATGGAACTCTGGATGGCACGCATGGCTGGCGTCATAGTGATGTGTATTTCCACCACTTCGGGTTTGTGTCGCTCTAGAAAAGAGTGCACCACCGCGTGAAACCTGGGGAAGAGAAAGACGGGAAGATCTCAGCAAGGAACTGCACAAATCATCTCCCTGTCCTGGTTCCTAGCTACTGTATGGACAGTTCATCTAAGTCCTCAGATTGGAAGGATCTTTTCAATCCAAAAAGAGGCTTTTCTAAAAGGCAATTGGGTTTTTTTCCCCTTTGAAAACATTTCGCTCCTCATCCAAGAGGCTTTGGGTCAGACCTGGAAGCCATCTTTTACGTTTGGGCCTTCAGGCCTGCCACATCTTCTTCTGAGGGAAAATGGGAGGGGGGATTGCATAGAGTGTAGATGATACGTAGTCAAAATAACATTCCTTTCTCAGAGAGTCAAGGATGCCTTGCCCTGGCAAGTCGGATTATTTATTTATTTATTTATTTAATTTTATTTATATACCGCCCTTCTCCCGAAGGACTCAGGGCGGTGAACAGCCATAATAAAACACTGTACAAAATAGAATTTAAAAGCAGATTAAAATAATTAAATCATAGGCCGAATTTAAAACTCTCATTTAAAACCAATTTTAAAACCCCATTAAAACAAAATTAAAACCGTTGACTGGGAGGTGTCTTCAGTTTGGACCGTGGATGACTGGACCATGTGATGGTCATGAGGGTGTTGGGCAGGGAATTGAACTTTCACTTGGGTGGAAACTTTCAGATTCGGGTTTTCCCAGATGTGCCAATATGACATCTCTAATAAATAGTAACTTTGAGGAAATCTAAGCCTGGGAGTTTTCTTTCGTTGAGGGTGTTACTTGGAACCCCGACATTAATCCGAATCTGACACTTTGCTGTGCCCTGTTGGCCGCCGGCCCCTCCAGCAGCCGACTCAGAGGAGGAGGAGGAGGAGGAGGCGGCGTGGGAGTCAGGGTCAGCATCAAGGCAACCTGAGAGCTCCGAGGGGGAAGAGGGAATGGAGCTGTCAGAGAGAGAGAGAGAGAGAGGCAGAGGCAGAGCCTGGGCGGGTCCATCACCACTCATGGAGAATCAACAGCCGCCAGGTCTGGAGGTGGCTGATGAGGAAGAGGAGGAACAGCTGGGCCCAGTGCCTGATGCGCGGATGCGCAGAAGGTGGAGGAGAGAAGAGCAGTGGAAATCTATGAGCTGGTCCTTGGGATGGAAGAGCCACCGCTGCTAATGAAGCTCCATCCTAGCTCTGGGGATAAAAGGCGGGGGGCAGAGATGAATGGGTGTGATAGACAACTATTCATCTTCAGGCCAGCCGGATTTGTTAGCCTGCGTTGAGAGAGAAACTTTTTTGCCAGGGCTGCTGGCGCTCCTAATTAAAGGAATCATTGCTTCAACTGCAGAGAGTTTGTCGTGTTTGGAGAGCTGGGTCAGAACAGGCTTCTTCAGTTCTGGATGAGAAACAAAATGTTTTCAGAGGAACAAAAAAAAAAAAAACCAAGGAATTCCAGTCGCGTTTTGGAAAAGCGCCTTTGGGACAACCATGACCTGGATGACCGAGACTTTCCATCGATCCTTCCCATCCTTAAGCCACCTTACCTTGGCCAGAGATACAGCTTCCTCACGAAGAGGTTTCGCATGACCCTTTCCACATGACAAAAGCCGGTGTTAAAAGCCAGGGCGTTATCGGTGAAGGCTTTGACGAAACCTTGCTTGTTCTTCTGGCGATAAAGCCGCAGGATGAAAGCTTCTTGGCACGACTCGATGATTCTGTGGGCTTTGTACACCAGAATTCCTGGAGTGAAGAACAAGAATAAATTGGAAGCAGCAGGGCTGGGGATGGTGGTGAGGAGTCCGGGACAAAACACACGAAGAGGACGTGAAGTTTTTCAAGGCAGGTCAAGAATTTGATAGGTTTCGCCGATGAAAAAAGCGTGAGATGTTTTTAACTACCCTCTGGCATCTTCTCCAGAGAGACAAAGAATGAAATGCTTTAAATGCCTTCTTCAGGACAAGTGTGTCCTGGTTTGAAATCGGCCCAAGGAATTCAAATTGTAGGAAGTTAGCACCTACCCCTCTCCTAGAAGAACGAAATATTTTAGGAAATATTAAAAAGGCAGAATATATTTCCCTGGATGAGAAATGGAGAAACATGTTTTAAAGACAAAGCAGCTTTCTGTCTCCCCCAACCTTTGTCAATGGGCCATTAAGGCCTCAGCCAAGCTCACTCATTCCCCCCCACCTTTGTCAATGGACCATCATCTGCAACACAATAGGACCCATCTAGCAACAGAAACTCCCCACATGGCACCTGGGAAGATTATATCAGCCAGCAAGGCTAGCTAAGACCCCCCATCCCCTGGAAGTCTGACAACCAATCAGGACACTCTTCCTATGCCCCAGGAAGTTCAAAGCGCAGAGAGGGCATAAAAACTAAGGCACGCTCAACATCTCAGCCCTTTTCTGTTCAGGAACTCAAACCATGTGATCCTGTCCACCATTAAACCATCTTTCCAAGCAGTCTCCATGTTTCCAGTGTCTTTTTCCCCACTTGGAGCTGAACCCAGATGGATATTTTCTTCCAACAAAATAAGAACCGGAATTACTCCCTGACCTTAGGAGAATTATTCAAATGAAATATCAAACCTTGATAGGATGCATCTACTGTATTTTTCGGAGTAAGTAACTAAGACACACCTTAGTTTTTGGGGAGGAAAATAAGAAAAAAGCTGATTGGCAGGTGGGTTGGCCTCCCCGAATACCCCAATCAGCTGTTCCCAGAGGGGAATTTTAGCAACAGGTTCCTTGGTTGTGAGCTCTGTGCCTTGCTTTTTTTGGCTTTTTTTTTTCTGCCTCTGAAACTTCTGAAACTCCGTTTCAGAAAAAAACTTCTTTTCTGACTCTGAAAGCCTCTGAAACAGTTTCAGAAAAAAAAGCCTCTGAAGCTCTGTTTGGGGGCTTCTTTTCTGAAGCTTCGTTTCTGATGCTTTTTTTTCAGCCTCTGAAACCTCCATTTGAGAAGCTGGGCGGGGCTACATTTGGAAGACGCATCCAGATTTTCACCCCCTTTTTTGGAGGAAAAAGGTGCATCTAATACTCCGAAAAATACAGTACTCAAAAATATGACCCATGGAATACAGCAGGATTCACTCTTCAGATAAAAGCTCATAGGATTAAGGAGCAACCACTATGATCAACCAGAATCTCCAGGAAGACACAATGGTTGATGGGCCTGTTTTCTTTTCAGAATGCACCTTTAAACAATTGGGGATCCCCCTTAATAAAAGACAGATCTAAAATCAAGGGATCGTAAGAGATTTCCAGGACTGTTCTGACCTAGGTTTCCTTAGAAAGTAAACAGCACAAACTTAGTCCTGACAAACTTCTTTAATTCAAACGGCTGTGAATTATTGTCATTCCCAGTCCAAAAGGCTTCTCAAACAGTCTTTCAGGGGAGTGTTCATCTTATCTCCCTTGGAATGCTGCCAGAGAACTAATTGCCAAATGCAGGACAAGGCCAAACTTAGCACAGAGTCAAACAGAACTTTCTAAAGCTTGAACCGACCAGATGAACTAATTGCTTCCTGCAAAAGCTCACGTCCCGTTCGCTCCTCTTTTATGTCTTATGGGAGGGGCCAATCATCTCCAAGCCTTACTCCCAAATCGACCCTGTTTTCTTAATTGTTCCTGTCTTCTGGCAGCTCTGCGCATGCACACACTGGGAACAGGCTCACACTGTTCTTCTGCCTCGCTGATGTCAGACTCTGGAAACAGCAAAGAACTACCAAGTGGCCTTGGCCCCCTCTCTGCCTCCGACTCAGAGCCCTCATCTGAGCCTTCCCCAGACTCCAGGACTGGCCCCCATTCCTCCCCAACCTCTTCACTGTCCGAATCTGTTACCAGCTCTGCTGGCGGGCCACAACATGAACACAGCCACTTTGTCCTAACGTTACAGATCAGCCACAGATGCTGTTACTATTCTGTGACATTTTTACTCCAATCTTTCCCCTAAACTGGTCAGTGGCCTTATACCCTGTTCCAGTGGTGAAATCCAAATTTTTTTACTACCGGTTCTGTGGGCGTGGCTTGGTGGGCATGGTGTGGCTTGGTGGGTTTGGCTTGGTTGGGTGTGGCAGGGGAAGGATACTGCAAAAACTCCATTCCCTCCCCACTCTGGAGCCAGCCAGAGGTGGTATTTGCTGGTTCTCCGAACTGCTCAAAATTTCCGTTACCGGTTCTCCAGAACCTGCTGGATTTCACCCCTGCCCTGATCCCCATCTCCAGTTTTAGCCGTTGGCTTTGTAGCAGTCTTTCCCAACCTTGGTTACTTTTTTATTTATTTATTTTTTTTTTAATTTGATTTATATGCCGCCCTTCTCCGAAGACTCAGGGCGGCTTACAATGTGCTCAGCAACTTGAAGACAGGTGGGCTTCAACTCCCAGAATTCCCCAGCCAACGTGGTAAACGTTAAGACATGCTGGCTGGGAAATTCTGGGAGTTGCAATCCACACATCTTCAAGTTGCAGAGGTTGGGAAACCCTGGCTTAAGAGAGACAGAAAGTGACTAGTTCAAGATTATCCTGCAAACCTCATGACCTAATTACAGTAATATCTAACTAAGCCACACAGGCTTTTCGGGCAGAAAAGAATGTCCCGAGCATGTCTCCATGACTAATCTGTAGCTTACAAGCTGTATTTTTAATAGAGCTTCTCCCATGCTGACCTCTAGTGGGAATGACCCTATAAAACAAAGAACATTATTTGAAATTCGCCTATACGTGAACCGGGAAGAACAATAGCCCTGCATTTTTTTCAGTCTAGACTCAAAACTATGCACGGCATGCCGAGAGGCGGGAATGACACCCAGTTTTAAACTTCTTACCAGTGATAAGATCCGCAGGAATCCTGTCGGTCAGGAAATCCACCACCAGAATTCGGCTAGTGGCAAAAATAACTCCTCCCTGGGTGTAAACCTCATAGCGGCTGCTGCTGGCAATTTCATTTGTAACTCGCCGAGGAAGATAAGCAACGTTATCGGTCTTTAACTGGTCAATAAAATATTCCTGACAAAGGGAAAAATGATTCAGAGTAAAGAGGAAGATAAGCAATTAGTTTACTGTCTTTCACTGGTCACTAAAATATACCTGATAAAGGAAAAATGATTCAGAGAAAGCCAGGCAGAAAAAAAGGATTTGTATTCTTTAGGCTAATTTAGGTGTCAGCAACCTGCAGCTCCGGAGCCGCATGCGGCTCTTTGGGCCCTCTGCTGTGGCTCCGTGTTGGGTAATCCCACAACTGGCTGGCCCCGCCCCTCGCCCTCCCCTCCCAGTCACTCCTTGCCTGGCCTGAGAAGGAAAGAGCGATGGTGGGGGATGGAGAAGTGGCCGGAGGAGAGACAGAGAGATACAGAGAGGGGGGTGAGAGAGAGTGGGGGACAGAGGGAGGGAGGGGAGAGAAAGATGTCAAAAGGATTTTGTTGTTCCTGGTGTTTTTTAACAACCGGTTCTCTGCCCTAATAACCGGCTGGGTAGGCGTGGCTAAGGGGGGTCATGTGACTGGTGGAAGTGAGTGACATCAAGTTGGTCACACCCACCCAGATTTTGTATCTCCCAGTGTTTTCTGTGGGAAATGGGTCCAAATGGCTCTTTGAGTGTTTAAGGTTGCAGGCCTCTGGGCTAATTCCTTATTAGAGCAATTATTTTAAAATAGCTTTTTTTTATTTCTGCAAACCTTAGATTCCCCAAATTCACTGTCAACTATTAAGCATAAGTGGGGGATTTGGGCTACGTCAGACTGGTTTTCAGCAAACGAGTTTCCTGGAAAAGGCCATTTTCCATAGGCCATAACATTTTATGTCTCCTGTCAACTAATGAGATTCAAATGCCTACTGATAGTAGAAATCCTATCCATATTACTCAGGAGTAACACCTCTGTTTAATTCAATGGGCTCCATTACTTGACATATATTTTATAGCATTGCAACCTAATGATGCCGTAAAGAAACAATTCAGATTTATAACATTATCTACGAATACCTGCTTAGAAGTAAAGAGCACTTTTTCAATGGGATTGCTTTTCTTATATGTTCCTAGAACTATGTCCAGATAAGGATGGATGGTCAGACAGACAGATAGATTAGATAGATTGAGAGATGATAGACGGACAGATAGTTAGATGATAGGTAGATAGATGATAAGTAGATAATAGGTAGATAGATAATAGACAGACAATAGGCAGATAGAAGATAGATGGAGGGAGGGAGGGAGGGAGGGGGAGAGAGAAAATGTTCCTCAATTTCTGGATAGTCTCTCAGTCCAACCCACCTCATAGGCTTGTTGTGGGGAAATAGGAGAAGAAAGGAGTATGATACGTTCAACGCCTTGAGTTATTTATAAATAATAATAAAAACAGGATGTAAATAAATAAATCTCTCTTGGGGGATTCTGCCAGAACACCCTTACACAAATGATGTCATGAGGCTTGAGTGTCATAGGACATGAGAATTTGGGTGGAGTGTTTTACACCACATTTGAAGGTCTATTACCAATGTTCTTGAAATTCAGGAAAGCCAATTGGGTGACTTTGGGCCAATCACCAGGAGACGGTGAGTTCTAATCCCACTTTAGCCATGAAAACCAAATGGGTGACTTTGGGCCAATCATAAGGAGACGGTGAATTCTAGTCCCGCCTTAGCCATGAAAGCCAATTGGGTGACTTTATGCCAATCATATGGAGACGGTGAGTTCTAGTTCTGCCTTAGCCATGAAAACCAATTGGGTGACTTTGGGCCAATCATAAAGAGACGGCGAGTTCTAGTCCCACCTTAGCCATGAAAGCCAATTGGGTGACTTTGGGCCAATCACAAGGAGACGGTGAGTTCTAATCCTGCCTTAAGCATGAAAGCCAATGGGGTGATTTTGTGCCAATCACCAGGAAACAGTGAGTTCTAGTCCCACCTTAGGCATGAAAACCAATTGGGTGACTTTGGGCCAATCATAAGGAGACGGTGAGTTCTAGTCCCACTTTAGGCATGAAAACCAATTGGGTGACTTGGGCCAATCATAAGGAGACGGTGAGTTCTAGTCCCACTTTAGGCATGAAAACCAATTGGGTGACTTTGGGCCAATCATAAGGAGACGGTGAGTTCTAGTCCTGCCTTAAGCATGAAAGCCAATGGGGTGACTTTGTGCCAATCACCAGGAGACGGTGAGTTCTAATCCCACTTTAGCCATGAAAGCCAATTGGGTGACTTTGGGCCAATCATAAGGAGATGGTGAGTTCTAGTCCCGCCTTAGCCTTGAAAGCCAATTGGGTGACTTTATGCCAATCATATGGAGACGGTGAGTTCTAGTCCCGCCTTAGGCATGAAAGCCAGTTGGGTGACTTTGGGCCAGTCCCACTCCCCCACTCCCCCCCTCTCTCTCTCAGCCCAGCCTTCCTCACAGGGTTGTTGTGGTGGGGAAAAGAAAGACTGGATGCTCTGCTTGGAGCTGTCCCAAAACACGGGGCGGGGGGGGGGGGCGCCCTCTGCCCTCCCTCCCTGAATGACAGGCTTGGCCTTCCCACCCAAATAGGGCTAACACTGAAGAGGAGCCCCCTCAGGCTCCTACAAGGCCAGGCCAGAGCGCGGCGTTAACCCGGGTTGAGCGTCCGGTGGGAAGGCGGGCTGGCTGAGGGAAAGTCTCCCCTACCTACCTCCTCCGCAGGGCTGGTGTTGAGCACCAGAACCAGCCGGGTGGGCTCGCAGTAGAGCCGAAGGAAGCGGAGGAGCAGGCGGTCGACGCCCAGCCCGCGGGCGCAGATGACCAGGCCGTCCTGGTGGAAAAGATCCAGGAAGATCTGCGTTTCGTGTTCGAGAGGCGGCCCGGCCGCCATGGCTACCGGCTGTCATCGGCAGCCTCTCTGCGCATGCGCCGGGAGAACCACGGAGTTGGCGAGGTAGAGCGACGCACGGAGACTTCCTGTGACGCTCTTTTCAAACCGGAAGCTCCTCTATCGATGCGGGGCTGGGGTGGGAGTTGGGGCGGGGTGAGAAAAGAGAGGGAGGGAGAACAAGGCGCCAGTTAAAGGAATCGAGCCTCGGACAAACAGACAGCGCTGCTGCCATCTAGCGGTCGGCAGGTTGATTGTTTCAGGCTTTATTGCAATTTAAAACAATTATTAGCCGCTTTTAATAATTGAAACAATACAGCCAATTTATTGCAATTGTTTGTACTGGATCTAGCCTCTCCGGACAACCAATTATATTCTGCAGCGTTTCTCAACCTTCATAACTTTTAAGAAGCCTGGACTTCCAAACTCCCAATATTCTCCAGCCAGACTTTCTTAAAAGTAGCTACGGTTGAGAAAGGGCCATACAAGTATGGAACATAAGAATGGAGTTTTAAAAAGTTATCCCAATACAAGAAGCCAGGAGGGATGGCCGCGACCTGTGTCACGATTAAGTTAGCAGAAGAAAAGGGGTGATTTGGATGGCCAGGACCTCTGCCCCCCCCCCCGCCCCCCAACTACGCATGCAGGATCCGATATTGCAATTTTTCCTACATAGAAGGGGGAAAAGGGGAAAGGGAAAGAAAAATGGGGAAAGGGGTGGGGGAGGGGGAGGAGAGGAGGGGAAGGGAAAGGAAAGGAGAATGGGGAAAGAAAGGAAAAGGAAAGGAAGAGGGAAGGGAATGAAAGGAAAGGAGGAAGAGGGAAGGAAAGGGAAGGAGGAAGAGGAAAGGAAAGGAGAGGGGGGAAAGGAAGGAAAAGGAAAGGAGGAAGGAGGAAGGGAATGAAAGGAAAGGAGGAAGAGGAAAGGAAAGGAAAGGAGGGAGAGGGAAGGGAAGGAGGAGAGAGAAGAGAGGGAATGAAAGGAAAGAAGGCAGAGGGAAGGGAATGAAAGGAAAGGAGGAAGAGGGAAGGGTAGGGAATGAAAGGAAAGGAGGAAGAGGGAAGGAAAGGAAAGGAGGAAGAGGGTAGGGAATGAAAGGAAAGGAGGAAGAGGGAAGGAAAGGAAAGGAGGAAGAGGGAAGGAAAGGAAAGGAAAGAAAGGAGGAAGAGGGAAGGAAGGAAAGGAGGAAGAGGGAAGAAAGGAAAGGAAAGGAGGAAGAGGGAAGGAAAGAAAAGGAGGAAGAGGAATGAAAGGAAAGGAGGAAGAGGGAAGGAAAGGAAAGGAGGAAGAGGGAAGGAAAGGGAATGAAAGGAAAGGAGGAAGAGGGAAGGAAAGGAAAGGAGGAAGAGGGAAAGAAAGGAAAGGAAAGGAGGAAGAGGGAAGGAAAGAAAAGGAGGCAGAGGGAAGGGAAGGAAAGGAAAGGAGGAAGAGGGAAGGAAAGAAAAGGAGGCAGAGGGAAGGGAAGGAAAGGAAAGGAGGAAGAGGGAAGGAAGGAAAGGAGGGAAGAGGGAAGGAAAGGAAAGGAGGAAGAGGGAAGGAAAGGAAAGGAGGAAGAGGGAAGGAAAGGAAAGGAAAGGAGGAAGAGGGAAGGAAAGGAAAGGAAAGGAGGAAGAGGGAAGGGAAGGAAAGGAAAGGAGGAAGAGGGAAAGAAAGGAAAGGAGGAAGAGGGAAGGAAAGAAAAGGAGGCAGAGGGAAGGGAAGGAAAGGAAAGGAGGAAGAGGGAAGGAAAGGAAAGGCAAGTTTAAAGCAGGGCTATCCAACTTGGCCACTTCAACTCCCAGAATTCCCCAGCCATGCTGGGAATTGAAGCCCGGTGGTCTTAAACCTTGCAAACGAGGTTGCCCACCCCGGCTTTCCAGAGTCCCATTCGGAGCGTCCTGATCATCCAACCAAGCCCTCCGCGGCTTTGGACTGCGGCAGCCTCGCCCCCCCCCCGACCCCCCCGGCCTCGGGCCGGGGGGGGCCCCCCCCCCCCCCCCCCCCCCCCCGCGAAGCCAAAGTCCCGGGCAGAGCCCCGCCCCTGTGGCAAGCGCGTGCACGCGCGCATGCATGAACCCAGGCGGGCACCGGCCGGGCTGGTCTTCCCTTCCGGGTTGCCCTGCGCGTCCCCGCCGCTGCTGCTGCTGCTGGTCCCATCATGATTTTCTTGCTGGCTTTCTTTGCCAGCATCTTCCAGACAGGTGAGCCCAGGGAGGCGAGGGAAGGCGCCAGGTGGGTGTCCCAGTCACCGCTTCACCGTGGTTGGGTCTTCTGCTCTCCCTTGGCCATCCCCCAAGCTGTCTGTCAAGGCTTCCATCCAGACCCCCCCCCCTTTAGTCCTTTCTGGATCCGTCTCAGGATATTGGGAGGGGGGGATTTTCTTCCTCTCCCCACGTGCAAAACGACCCCAACCCTCATTCTGGAGTCCAGAAAGGGGATTGGAAGCCCCCCCCCTTCACCTTTTTGCAAACACCCCTTAACGCCTCTTCAAGGTTAATTTTCCAGCAAGCCGGGCTGGCTTAAGAAGAAATTTTAAATGTTTTAATTGGTTTGTATTTTTAATTTTGGGCCAAATTTGTATATATTTTAATCGTTTTTAATATTTGTATTTCATGTTTTTTAATTCTGGCTGTACACCGCCCTGAGTCCTCAGGGAGAAGGGCGGTATATAAATTTAAAAATAAATAAATAAATAAATAAATAAATAAATAAATAAATAAATAAATAAATAAATAAATAAATAAATAAATAAATAAATAAATAATAAACAAACAAACAAACTGGAATTAAAAAGGCGAGGTGGGGGGGGCTCCAAGTTCGCTTTCAGACGAGAGGGATTTCACCTTTTCTCCACCCCATTGGGCTGGGCAGCAGGAAGGAGGGCGATGAGGCTGCAATTTACGGGAGGCCCCTTGGGGACCGCTGGCCTTGAGCTAATTCTTTAAGAACATCTTGACATCCTTGCTGCCAACAAGCAGCTCTCCACCCTTTTTCCCCCACTGGAGCTATCGTGGCTTGAAAGGAAGATGCTTGTCAATGCACAAGCGATTACAGGTAGTCCTTGATTTACAACCGCCAAAAAAACTGGAATGTTCCTCCTTTTAAGTGGTGCAGTTGTTAACACAAAGATGTCCTATGACTGCAACTTGCCACTTGCCACTTGTTTTTGCTTGTAAGCTGGGAAGATCATGAATGGTCTTGAAAAAACAGCGCTTTAAAAAAAAAAGTGACTTGTGACTTGATCCTTACAAACATCACTTCGTTCCCCCCATCGTCACGTGTTCCAAATTCAGGTCCTTGGCAACCAGCATGTATTTACCGCAGTGGTGGCATCTTGACATCACGTGATTGGCATTTGCAACCTTCTCAGCTGGTTGTCCCAAAGGTGTGTTAGGAAAAAAATATCCTTCTGGGTTCAGCTCCAAGTGGGGAAAAAGACGCTGGAAACATGGAGACTGCTTGGAAAGATGGTTTAATGGTGGACAGGATCACATGGTTCAAGTTCCTGAACAGTAAAGGAATGAGATGTGCGAGTCACCGGGTTTTATGCCCTTTCTGGCTTTGAACTTCCTGGGGCCCCGAAAGAGTATCCTGATTGGTTGTCAGACTCCCAGGGGGTGGGGGTCTTAGCTAGTCTTGCTGGTTGATGTAATCTTCCCAGGTGCCATGTGGTGAGTCTCTGTTGCTAGATGGGTCCTATTGTGTTAGTTTCTGTTGCTAGATGGGTCCTATTGTGTTGCAGATGATGGTCCATTGACAAAGATTGAGTTTCTGCCTCTGGCCCATTGACAAAGGGTGGGGGGGCAGGAAGATGGGAGCTGCTTCCTCTTTAAAACATGCTTCTCCATTTCTCATCCAAGGAAACATAATATTCTGCCTTTTTAATATTTCTCAAAATATTTCATTCCTCTAGGAAAAGGTAGGTGCTAACTTCCTACAGGTGCTTTTTTTTTTTTCAAGAGGCAACTGGACTGTCTTGGTTTTTCTTGGAAGACGTTTCACTTCTCATCCGAGAAGCTTCTTCAGCTCTGCGTGAATGTCTTCCCGTTCCCCACCATCCCATCAGAGCCGAAGAAGCTTCTTGGATGAGTGGCGAAACGTCTTCCAAGAAAAACCAAGAAAGTCCAGTTGCCTCCTGAAAAAAAGCACCTTTGGAACAACCATGACCTGGAGGACTTGAGAACCTTTGTAAACATTTTTGACAAGCAAAGTTAATGGGGGGGGGGGAGCTGGATTCACTTAAAGAGGACATGATTCATTTAACGACTTGGTGTATCTGGGCTTACCAAACCAACAATGGGCATTAGATGTTACCAATAAAGGAGAATATTTGTAGCTCAGGGTTGAAATGAGAGGGGTCCTTGGTGCTCTCTGAGCTTGGTTGTTTTCTTGCAGACGTGTCATTACCCAGCTAGGTAACATCATCAGTGCTGGAAGGGGTGAGGTTTGCTCTTGGTTCCTTGAACATTCTCCTCTAGCACTGATGATGTTACCTACTTAGGGTAATGAAACGTCTGCAAGAAAACAACCAAGCTCAGAGAGCACCAAGGACCCTCCATTCTTTGTATCTTGCCAGGGCATAACGCCTGTTTCTTGTTTCCAGCTTTTACGGGCGTGAACGAACGCACTTTCCTTGCCATCAAGCCAGATGGGGTACAGCGGCATCTGGTTGGCGAGATCATCCGGCGCTTTGAGAAGAAAGGCTTCAAACTGGTGGCGATGAAGCTCATGCAGGTGAGAACAGCCATGGGAGCCCCCAGGTAGCACTCGGGGACTCCGGCTGAACTTGGCCTCATTATGGGCATCCTGGTCTTTTTTAAAAAAATTAGAGGTGTGCGAACGAAGCCTTATTGAAATTCACTGATCGAAATAATACCCCTGTCTTTAAATGCAACGCAGGTCGGTTAACAGAAATTATAACAAATGAAGGCAAAATGTACGTGTCCCAGGATAATGTTGCAGGATCCAATCTGGGCCAGTCACTGGGACCAGAGGTTTTGTCTTCCGAGCGTCTCTCTAGCACAGGGGTCTCCAACCTTGGCAACTTTACGACTTGTGGACTTCAATTCCCAGAATTCCTCAGCCAGGAATTCTGGGAGTTGAAGTCCACAAGTCGTAAAGTTGCCAAGGTTGGAGACCCCTGCTCTAGCAAACTCTGCTAGAGAGAGGTTTCCTGAGGATGGGAAAGTCCAAAAGCTGAGAAGACTAAACCCCTGGGTCCAAGTGACTGACCCAGATTGGGTCCTGCGAAAATGGAAATACAATAAATTAGATCAAAAGCCTAAAAATGGCCATGAAGGAAACTCTGCAGCCAACGAGCATGTCCTCAACTATTTCGCTGATTTTTTTCATGCCTGGGAAAATAGCCAAGTCTGAAGGACTTTCTAAAAAGCCAGCAGAATCGGAGCCAACAGTAACCTTGAGCGGTATGGTGTGCCCAAGCGCCAACTTCTATTATTTAATTGTCCCTTTCCCTTAACTAGCTGCCATTTTGCCAGTCAAGGATTCTGTCCGTTTAACCCGATTTTTCCCAACCTCAGCGACTTTTAAGAAGAGTAGACTTCATCTCTACTCTACATAAGAGCCGCGGTGGCGCAGTGGTTAGAGTGAAGCACTACAGGCTACTTCTGCTGATTGCTGGCTGCCTGCAATTTGGCAGATCGAATCTCACCGGGCTCAAGGTTGACTCAGCCTTCCATCCTTCTGAGGTTGGTAAAATGAGGACCCAGATTGTTGGGGGCAAGAGGCTGACTCTGTAAACCGATTATAGAGGGCTGTAAAGCAGTGCTAAGTGCTATTGTTATTGCTATCTCCCAGAATTGTCCAGCGAGTTGACATGCTGGCTGGGGGAATTCTAGGGGTGGAAGTCCACCCATCTGAAAAGTTGCTAAGGTTGAGAAAAAACAGATCAAACCAAAACTCATTATGATTATTTGAGTCTTCCTCTGATTTGGTGATTCTTGGTGCAGATAACAATTACCATCGTTCTATATTCGCTCCTCATTTACCATTTCATTCCTACAGGATTCAGACAAAACGCCAGATAGATATCAAATGTAGAGATCTAATCTGGCCGACACAGGTCTTTTTTATCCCTTATCTTGTATTATCGGTATTGTAGTTTCTTATAAAATTATTAATTATTAATATATCTTATTAAATTATTATTCTGATGTGGTGGCTCAGTGGCTAAGATGCTGAGCTTGTCGATCGAAAGATCTGTAGTTCAGCCGTTCGAATCCCTAGTGCTGCGTAATGGGGTGAGCTCCCGTTACTTGTCCCAGCTTCTGCCAACCTAGCAGTTCGAAAGCACGTTAAAAAATGCAAGTAGAAAAATAGGGACCACCTTTGGTGGGAAGGGAACAGCGTTCTGTGCGCCTTTGGCGTTTAGTCATGCCGGCCACATGATCACGGTGACGTCTTCAGACAGCGCTGACTCTTCGGCTTAGAAACAGAGATGAGCACCACCCCCTAGAGTCGGGAACGACTAGCACATATGTGCGAAGGGAATCTTTTTAGCTTCTTATCCACACTGTAGAACGTGTGACCTTATTTAAAAAAAAGTCTCTTCTTTTGAACTTTCAATTACACGTTGAAGGTGATTTTGGTGATGGAGCCGCTCATCCTTCTAATTCCTTCCCAATCTGCAGGTGAGAATGTTAGAATCCCGTGTTTTTACAAACGTCTGTATTGATTGCATCTGATGTATCTTCTGCTCAGGCTTCGGAAGAGTTGCTGAAAGAACATTACGCCTCTCTCCGTGAGCGTCCTTTCTTCAGCCGCTTGGTGAAATTCATGAGTTCGGGACCGATTGTGGCCATGGTGAGGAACAGAAATGCGAGAGGCTAAATTTTAGCCTTAATGTTAATATCACTTTATAATGCCTTGGTAAGGCCACACTTGGAATACTGCATTCAGTTTAGGTCGCCACAATGCAAAAAAGATGTGGAGACTCTAGAAAGAGTGCAGAGAAGAGCAACAAAGAGGATTAGGGGACTGGAGGCTAAAACATATAAAGAACAGTTTTGGGTATGTCTAGTTTAATGAAAAGAAGGACTAGGGGAGACATGATAGCAGTCTTCCAATATCTCAGGGGCTGCCACAAAGAAGAGGGAGTCAAGCTATTCTCCAAAGCACCTGAAGGCAGGACAAGAAGCAATGGGTGGAAACTTTTGGGTAGCTGCTGTAAGAGATCCACCAAAGTTGTTGCTGTTGACCATTCTTCTTCGTTCACTTTCCGTAGGTCTGGCAAGGGCAGGAGGTAGTCAAAACTGCACGCATGATGATTGGGGAAACCAACCCAGCCGATTCGAAACCTGGAACCATCCGAGGAGATTTCTGCATTGAAGTGGACAAGTGAGTTGAATTGTCATTAGTCCTCGGCATACAACCCCAATTGAGCCCAAGATTTCTGGGCTAAGTGAGACATTTGTCAAGTGAGTCTTGCCCCATTTTACTACCTTTCTTGACATCGTTGAATCATCACAGTTGTTAAGTTAGGAACACGTGCAGTGAATCTGGCTTTTTGTTGTGACCTAGGCTTCCTGAGTCATTAAAACACACGAGTAGTCCTAAAAACCTTTTTTATTGCTACAGCTGTGAATTACGTTCATTCACAGCTGAGTCCCAATTAGTTGCAAAAAGTCCTTCGGGAGAAGTCCTTCGGGATAATCACCAACCTTTATCTCCTTTGACACGCTGCCAAAGACCTACTTGGCAAAGCCACACGGAGTCCAGAATCAAACAGAGATGCCAACTGGGAACAGAATTAACAATCTTGCTTTCCTGCAAAAGGCCCACTGCTCCTCTTTTAAGCCTTATGGGAGGAGGGGCCAATCATCTCCAGGCCTTACTCCCGAGTCATCCCTTTTGTTTTAACTGTTCTTGCCTTCTGGCAGCTCTGCGCATGTGTGCACTAGGAACAGGCTCCCCCTGTTCCTCTGCAAGGTCTGACTCTGGAGGCTCCGGAGGCAGCACGCACCTCCCAGATGGCCCCCTCTCTGCCTCCAAGGCAGAGCCCTCGTCCAAGCCTTCCCCAGACTCCAGGACTGGCCCATATTCCTCCTCACTGTCTGACTCTATTTTGAAGATATCGGCCTGGCAGCTCTCCAAGCCAGATAAGGTCTGTGACGGTAAATTCTCCCTTGAAGGTGAATGAGAGGAATTCCAAGTGTTTGTTTAATAAAAGGGGTTTTGTCGGGACCAGGATTCTGCTTCATGCTTTTTGGGGAAGCCTGGGTCAGAACAGTAGGGCTATAAGGAACTGCGTAACCTAGAGGGAGGTGATCCTTGTCTTGTACGTAATACATTTCTCTCCGAATACATTCAACTTCCTCTTACACTACCGTTTCTTTCTCTGCAGGAACGTGATTCATGGCAGTGATTCGGTGGAGACCGCTCAGCGAGAAATTGCACTCTGGTTTCATTCTGAGGAGCTGATCTGTTCTTCGAAAGATAGCAAAGAGCACTGGATTTACGAATAACCATTAAAAAATGAAATCTCAGGGGTTGCTCTTGGGGTCCGGACTTCCCCCATCTGGGAATCTTCTTGAATGTATTGCACACTGACTCGTGTCAAATAAGAACCTTGGTTGAGAAAACCTGTTCCAGCAATGAGTCGAATATTAATTAGAATAATATCCATGAGCTACGAAAGCACAAACACGCAGAAGTCTTCCAATAAGATATTCTTCTTCAAATATCCCTCTTACATTAAGTTTTTCACTCCCATTTCTTATTTGGCTTGTTTCGTTGCTTGAACTGTCTGGCCAAAGCTGGGGAACGTTTCTTTAATCTTTCATCTAAATTCTCCAAAAATTCACTCCCAAGATAAAAAGAGAGTAATGTAGCTGGTGTTTGACTGCCAAGCAACGAAAATAACTTGTTCCCAATTAATAGGAGGCAGAGGGAACAAAGCCTTATGATCAATGTTTTTTGGAGTTTTTTTTTTTTTTTCAGTTTAAATGCCAAGGCTAATCTCATTCTCTTTAAGGGGCAAGAAAGAGTGATGGTTGAAAAGGCAGACTTTCTGGCACTGTAGTTTGATTTTTTTTCCCCCACCTGTCTAAAAAAGTATTAAAAACTCACTTTAGAGTTTTTAATACTTCAGAATCAGCAGAATTGGGAGCATAAAAATGTATGGAAAAAAATGTATAGAACAGGGAACAAATGAATGCCTACTTAAAAGAGAGAGAGATCTGCAAGATTTTTAGATTTCTTATGCTATTAAGTTACCAACTGGAATGCTGGAATGAGAGACGCACAGCTCTTATTTGCAAATATTTTCCAAGGATATTTGTTTGTCTGTACAAGCCTATTGCTTTTCAACATAGCATTTTTTAATTATTATTTTTTTTTGTAAAATAAACGTGGGAAAGATACCCATTTTCATTCCTCCGGTTTTCAGAGAGGTTGTGTAATTAGAGTTTGTGGATTGCTGAATTTGTTGGAAGACAAAGAAGAATAGGACTGCCACCTTGAGGGATTGTGAACCGGTAGTAAAAAAAAAAAAAGTTACCAGTTCAGGCAAACCGGTAGTTAAAAAGCTATCAGTTTGGGCTAACTGGTATTTCCGATGATCAGCTGTGCTGTGTGGTTTATTGATTGAATCTAAATCACGCGGCACATCTGTTTCCCCCTCCACCACTGTTCTTACCTTGTCAAGCCTCCTTTTTCTGCGTGCAGCATGCATTTGGCACTCACTGCTCATGCGTGGCCAACACTGATAGGGCAAGCCATTAGTACAGTACATAAAAAAGAGAACAAACCCCACCCCCTTCTGGCACTGATGATGGTATCTAGTTGGGTCACGAGATGTCTGCAAGAAAACAACTCACCTTAGAGAGCACTAAGGGCTCCATGATATGTACCAGAACCAGGGGTGGGATTCAGCCAGTTCAGACAAACCGGATGTTAATTTTAATCTGGTTTGCCGAACCGGTAGTTACAAGGACTGGCTCACCCCGTCCCACCCTTCCCAGGAGCCTCCACTCAGCCCATTTTGGATGCCAGATAAGTGCAGCACCCGTGTGGAGGCTCTGGGAGAGCGAAAAACAGGCTTCCCAGAAGTTCTGGAAGTCTGGAAACAGGCCTGTTTCCAGCCTCTGGAGGGCTTCCGGAGCCTGAGGGAGGCCGTTTTCACCCTTCCAGAGGCTTAAGGGAAGCCCCTGGAGCCTGGGGAGGGCAAAAAATGGGCCTCTCGGAAGTTCCAGAAATCTGGAAACAGGCCCATTTGCAACCTCCGGAGGGCCTCCGGAGCCCGGGGAGGCCATTTTTGCCCTCCTGTAGGCTCGAGGGAAGCCCCCAGAGGGCGACCCCCCCACTGTAGTGCAGGTGGCCGAGTAGGCCACGCCCACCCAGCAACCAGGCAGCGAGCTGGTTGCTAAAATTTTTCAATCCCACCCCTGCTTAGAACTCTCAATACACCCTTGACAATGTCATTTTTTCCACTTGTGTATTCCAGTAAGAAACGGGGGTCTCTCTCTCTCTCTCTCTCTCTCTCCTTGGCATGTGGGAGACTTCCCATCTTTCTCAGGGGTTCAGCAAGGCGCTCACAACCCGTGACGATAATAACATTTTTATTACATACAGAACAGATAATGGTTTTCAGTTTGTTTGGTAGCACGGAAGGGAGAAAGCAAGGGAGGGGTTGGTTTTCGTAACAGCCGTCTCTTTACATCTTTCAAACAAAACAGCAGAGTTTACAGCCTTCAAGACACATTATTATTTTTTTTAAAAAAATCCTTTTATAACGTACAAGTCAACTTTACATACATCACAGTGGAATTGCAGCAGGAAAGGTGTCTCTGTGAGGTCCCTCAGTCAGTGTTTCTCCAGGCTGGCTGATAAGCCCCTAAAAAAGGAGCCCATTCTTTGGGTGCTGTTTTCCTTCACTGTCTCCTCCTCCTCCTCCTCCACGCCATTCCCATGTGTGTGCTTCTTTTCAACATGCTCCCAATTGCAAAAGGCTTGGGAGCAGATGCACCAGACAAGCACGGTTAAGACTAGTAAACGGCCAGAAAAATGAGAGAGGCCGGAGGCTTCATCAAACTTTAAAAACAAAGAAAGAAACAAACTCGGTTTCAAATGTATGTAAGGACAGGATATGCTCTCGTGCCTTATGCTATTTGTTTCTGCTTGTTTATTTATTTTTCTTTGCAGAGTTTCTTAACTTCGGCCACTTTTAAGAAGTGTCCGCCTCAACTCAACCCAGAATTCTCCACGATTTGAAATCCAAATTTCTTTAAAGTAGCCGAGAAACATTGTTGTAGGGTACCCAGCCTAAGCGTGCACGCTCTCTCTCTCTCTCTCTTTATATATATATATATGTTTGTTTGTTCATTCTCCCCTTGGGAAAAATGCAGTGCATTTGCCCAGAAGCAAATCCCATCGAACTAAGAACAGCTTACTTTCTGAGACACGAATAACATTGCGGCTTCAATCAACTCTTTCGTTTTTAATCATGGAGCCAATTTTGTTGGCTTGATGGGTTTGTCATGCTCTATCGACCTTCCTCAACTTGCTACCGTTCGTGTTAGAAGTACAACTTTTTTTGAATTCCTTTTTTGAAGGCCAACTGAATTTAAGAGCTTTTGGGAAAGGTAGTCCTGATAAGTCTAGGTAGCACCTGGCGAACCACAGCTGATCTCCAAAAGCCAAAGCAGATCAGACTGGCATAGGAGACCACCAACTCACCCCAGGGGTGTAGGCCAGACCTGAGTAGTTGAAAGAAGGAGAAGAAGAAGAAGCCAAGACGGATGTGTCGATGAAGACCTCTAGAAGCTGACCTTAACTCACTGGGGGAAATCGCCTTTATAGACCCAGCTGGAAGGCAGCCAGCTGGGGAAGGCTAGAAACGGATACTTAGACCATCTGGGATGGTCCTGGGATCTGATCAAGTTCATCAGCCATTTGAAACGCCTCCAAACACTGTATCTTTATAGAAGATAAAGTTCATCTCCTTAGCAGCTTTTTTGGACCTCATCAGACTCTTAACACTGTCCTCATCTGCCTCAGATTTCTTTTGCTACTTCTACAAGTCCTAGTCTAAGAAGGAAGGGCTTTCTAAGAACATTCCAGCTGTCCTTCACTTCCCCTCTTCCCTACTTCCTTCTCCCGGACAATTGGCCTCTCTCTCTACACATTCCACTCTTACATTCTCTGACCCATTTGTCTTCCATGTTTGTTTGATTTCTCCTAGTTTTCTACCCTGATTTTTCTCTTTCCAAGATAGATAAGTTGAAAGATTTTGTGACTTATATTCCTGCAGCTCCCAGCAGAACACTCCCAGATACATCGAAGATGGTTTCACCCTCTAAAATATCTATCCACTCTGGAATACTGCAATATTTCAAGGCGGAAGAAGTTCAGATTTTTCTGGCTTGCGGTAGTCAAGATCCCAAACACTCATCTGGTAAACCCTTATTATCTTTACTGCATCTCTATCCTTCTGCACCAACAAAGAGCCCAGAACGGTTTCCAGACTGGTGCCTAAACCGCGGTGAACCCACCAGTGCCCAATTAAAATAAATTTAGTGATGGGAACTCATCCTGTGCCCACAGCCCATATTCTACATACAATGCCAACTGCTGACATGTGACTATAATTCCCAAACATACCTGCAAACCTTCCTGGTAGAGATTTTAAGATACTTTAGCCAAGTTCAGATCGCTCCCAAATTCGTGCCTGGACCTCACAGAATAATTGTGAAGGAGAAAGGACAAGGGATGTTAGTTGCTCTCAAAAACATCTCGCTCATACTGGCTTTGGAGACCAATCCAAGTGTCGACACAGTTTCCATGGTGGCAAAAGGGAGTAAGCCAGTTAAGCAGTTCATAGGTACTTTTCTCCATGCAGGTAGGAAGGAAGGAAGGAAGAGAAGGAGGGGGCTGCCTTGGAAAAGTTGTCCAATCCTTCTGAGCCAAGGGTATGGTCTTCCTTTGCGTCTTGACTTCTGATGCAATAGACTTCATCCCAAAATTCCCTCCAACCAGAAAGCCAACGGTAACCCCAGCCAGTCTAGACAAGTCCCACAATCTCAAGACCCATCACTGTAAACCTGGAGAGGGAGGGAGCCACTGGATGGCACAGGAATGGTTGTAGTTATCTGGGATCAGACAGGCCAGCAGTAGGAATTATGCAAAAGTTCTGTATGTACATATTGGCATTCGGGAAGTGGGTGTCAGTAGAAGGGAGAAAATTATACTGGCAGGAAGAGGAAGAGAGGTTCATTCCGGGATGTAGGACACCTGCCAGACGATGATGTGGCTTCGTTCAGCCTTGGAGAGGATCGGCTTCACCTGGGCAACATCGCCCGTGTTTTCTTCGGTCTCGTCGTCTTCTCCGTCCCCTTTAGAAGGAAGAGGAACAAAAGAATAGAGCAGGGGTGTCAAACTCGATTTCATTGAGGGCCGCATCAGGGCTGTGATTGACCTCTGGGGGGCTGGGGGTGTGGCCAGGGGAGCATGGCTAGCATGACATCACTCACGTTGGGGGGGGCACCTGTGGTGGCCCGAGTACTCTACCAGCGAAAACAGGCTCACGAGCTCCGTTTTTGGCTGCAACGGCCTCTTGTAACACTGCCCATGAAAATGGCGCTCAGAAAAGCCGCATGCAGCCCTCCCGAGCTCTGTTTTTGCTGGCAGAGGCATCGCGGGGCGGTCCTTTGTTGTTTCCATGGTGGCCCTGTGGGCCAGATCTAACCATGGGCCAGATTTGGCCCGAATGCCTTGAGTTTGACACCTCTGGAATAGAGCGTCAAGGGGTTCCGTTCTCAGCAAAATTCACCAAACAGACGATCAAATAACAACCCTGTTGAGATCTTGGATTTACACAAGAGAGCTTTTTACTATCAAGGAATGTATGTTTTGCAACCTTCTGACGAGCAAATTCAGTGGGGAAGCCAGATTCCCTTAACAACTGTGTTACTAACTTAACTGCAATGATTCACTTAACAACTGTGACAAGAAAGGTCATAAAACAGGGCAAAATTCACTTAACAAATGTTTCCCTTAACAACATAAAGCTTGGGCTCAATTGTGGTCCTAGGTTGAGAACTACCTGCATAGCAACTATAGTATTATGGACAAATGGGTGTTTGAGACCTCTGAAGAAACAGGCTGCTTCAACTCCAGTGAGTGTGTAAGAAGGGTCACCCCAAAGAAAGAGAAAACAGATGATTGAGTTCTGCCCTTATCAGCCATCTGTGTAGTCCTCGGTGTGATTTCTTCTCTCACCATCCCATATTCACTGGGCCATATTCATCCACAGCTGCGGCAAGAGACAAGGATGCGCTGTGAAACTCACCAATCCGGAAGTCAATGTATCCTTCACCCCCGCTTAACACAAGGACATTTTTCAGCTTCTGTCCTTCCTCCTCGACAGTATCTGTACT